GGGGGGGGGGGGGACCGCACTCCTGCACCCTCCCCCTAGATCCGCCCTGCTGACCATGGACTTACTGTCAAAATATGCATGCAGGAATTCATTATGATTTTATGCAAGTGCTAAATGCCGTCTACTTCCAACCCCTCGTCAAAAAATAACAATAAATTAATTGATAAAAATAAAAACCTCTCTTGTGAAAAGTACGCTCTCATTGAGAGGCACAACTTAAGTCGTCTTAGGGTACCCCCTTTATCATTGAGTGAATCAATAACTTTCTAAATACAGAATTTACAAATGCAAATACAAATATATAGTCATTCGATTTTTGACATTCCTTTCGCTTTCAATTGGCCAAGCTGCCTGCGTAGCAAGCGTTTCCGTGCGATTTCGGAGCAAACAACGAAGAACCAGTTTCATTTCTCGCGCGGCCAAAACTGAAAAGCCAGTTCCTCTTTCTTTCCTTGCCCTGAAACCAAACAGAAACGCTTGCTACGCAGGCCACATTTAACTGTTTTCCACTCCACTCAAAAAATCCTTCTAAAAAAGGAATCGTGACGTCTTGCTGTGGAAATCCCAAATTTAGAAACCTGATGAGGTAGTCGCACTGGGGAGAGTCCCAGTGACGTCACTAAAAAGCAGGTTTGAAAGTGAAAGAACATTGAAAGAGTACATCCTCTTTCGGAGCCTAACAGAACTTTAGACCACACAGAAAGATCACTTCGTCAAGATATAAATATTCTTCCAATCTTTAAGCTTGGCTAAAACGGTTCTTGACTGAATTATTATTATCTTTTCAAGGTAAGCAACTCGGTTATTGTTTAAAAATTACCTATAAACTCAGCTGAATGGTACTGACTTCAACTGCTAGAGGAGGTTTGTTAGTTTGACTTAGTACATGCATTGTGATACTAATAGTCGTCGGTGGCTAGTTTAAGAATATGAGAGAGGCAAATTAGTTCGCGAATCTGGGAAGGTGTTTACGAATTCAGTATAAAAAGTTTTCTTTCTTCCTCCGCTTGTCAAAACTTTTAAGAAGCAAAAAGGTCGATCATTTTAGTCAGAAGTATCTTGAACCAATTCACTTAATACGAGTAGCCTGAATTTCATCCGGTTACATTGAGTCGTTATTACTCCCTCAGTTGCTGAGAGGAGAAAACGACTCCGAAGCATTTGGATGAAATTCAGGCTACTTTACGAGTATTGAATTTTTTGCAAATGTTTACTCTTGAGGTTTTTATGTCAGGGACACGATTTTCATCATCAAGGCCGCCATATAGAGAGGTTTTGTGGCTGTAAAAAGTTGCAAAGAGTCGAAGTGAAAATTTAGCAAACGAACTGTGATGATACTCAACAACTAAGGCGGAAGCGGGAAGCCCGGAAGCTGACTGGCTCCGCGATGCTTGACTCATTCAACCGTGCTGTCTTTCTCTTTAAAGAATATCATAAAGGCAGCTGACAAGGACCTAACAACTGGCGCACATTTTGCCCATGTTACAAGTATAATTCAGTATAAAAAGTCTTTATTTTTCTTTTCTTCCTCTGCCTGTCAAAACTTTCAAGAAGCAAAAAGTTCATTTCAGAAGTGTCTTGAACCAATTCACTTTTAATACGAGCATTAAAGTTGTGCCAAGAGCCATAATCCTATTATCAGTATTATGGCTCTTGAGTTGCGTGAAAATGCTTTATGTCGATCGTAGTGGGGTTTTGTGGTTGTAAAAAGTTGCAAAGAGTCGAAGTGAAAATTTACCAACCGAACTGAATACTGAATGATACTCAGCAACTAAGGCGGAAGGCGGAAGCCCGGAAGCTGACCGGCTCGATGTTTGACTCATTGAACCGTGCTGCTGTCTTTCTCTTTAAAGAATATTAATCAAGGCAGCTGACAAGGATCTAAATAACTGGCGCCGATTTGGCCTTGTTCCAGGGCAAAAGTTTACACATAGTTTTCTATGAGCTGCGTTTGTTTGTCCGTTTATCTTAATTGAATCGTGCTTAGTTACTCCTTCATGTAGTGTATGTAGTTTGCCAGGAGCCGACTCCTGAGTGTACCTATTTTGTTATTTCGATATCGATCGATGGAAAAGCCGAACGAAAATATACCTTTGCATTCTTAGAAACTCAGAATTTGAAAGGATTGCCTACATGCACGAGCATTTTATTTCGAACAATCTTGAGACGGGTCATTTAGCCCTATTATACCCATAATGTGTGAAAACCATTTTATGCTAGATATAACTGGGTTAGACCTCCTTACAGAAAATAAAATTTGGTCGAAATAACCAAGTTGATAATTATGGTGAAATAGGCAAAAGTAGATTTTTGGAGATTAATTATTAGACTCTTCAAGTTTCTCTTGAGCTACTGAAACTAAAAAAAATTCCTTTCTGCAAAAAAACATCTGTTACTGGCCATTTTCCCGTTAGGATACGTCCAGGAACCGGTAAAAATAAACTAAAGTGCATTGAATCAAAATCGTAAGCACCAGAAGCTCCGTATGAAAGCGACGAGGATGCTCGTCGCATTAGCGCTGGGTGGTAGATATTGCCGATTTGGGGTTTTCCGGACGGAAAGCCATACGGATGATATCGTTGAGGTTAGTGGGTAAAGAAGTCCAGACGTAGTTAATCGATAAACCGATAATCGATAATAATCGATATCAATCATCGATAAATATCGATTTCCGATATCATCGATAGAAATAGGTAAAGATAAAAAGTTGTGACTTCGATTAATATGGATGATTTTCCGATGGAAATCGAAGATGAATTTTTTTATAGATTGTTATCGATAACTATCGATTCCTATCGACCATTATCAATTTGTTAATCGATAATAATCAATAAATTATTTTATCTGTGACTTCGATTTCCGATATCAGCCCACATAAATCGGCGGGTTAAATCGATTAATATCGAGGATATCGATTGATTTCCGATATCGATTTTTATCCATTAACTACGTCTGGTGAAATATTTGCCAGCAACTAAGGAGGAGGAGGTCGGGTATTCAATTCTAACATTTTTTGGCTATTTGCCTCACCTCAGCTCTTACCTTGCTCACGGAATTGTTTATATGTGTCAGTGTACTCGCCTTTAGAAGTCAAACAAAGCCTGTCACGCCCAGACTGGTCTCTTTTGTGTTTAATGCAAGTGTTTTCGAGGAGCATCCCAATACGCAGTACACATCTAATGCGAGAGTCATGTCCAAACCCCTCCCCGCAGGACTTTGCCTAACGCTCAAGCATTGAATCTTCAAATAAGTCTTTTTTATTATTCATTTCAGCATGGCAGTGATTGTCTCTCCTTTGGATGCGCCAGTGGAAACGAAAATAGGTGAAGCTGAAGAAACAACCTACTTCTTTAATAAGAACGAGCATGCAAATAAAAATTACCTATAAACTCAGCTGAATGGTACTGACTTCAACTGCTAGAGGAGGTTTGTTAGTTTGACTTAGTACATGCATTGTGATACTAATAGTCGTCGGTGGCTAGTTTAAGAATATGAGAGAGGCAATTAGTTCGCGAATCTGGGAAGGTGTTTACGAATTCAGTATAAAAATTTTTCTTTTTTCCTCCGCTTGTCAAAACTTTTAAGAAGCAAAAAGGTCGATCATTTTAGTCAGAAGTGTCTTGAACCTATTCACTTAATACGAGTAGCCTGAATTTCATCCGGTTACATCGAGTCGTTATTACTCCCTCAGTTGCTGAGAGGAGAAAACGACTCCGAAGCATTTGGATGAAATTCAGGCTACTTTACGAGTACTGAATTTTTTGCAAATGTTTACCCTTGAGGTTTTTATGTCATATACAGAGGTTTTGTTGCTGTAAAAAGTTGCAAAGAGTCGATGTGAAAATTTACCAAACGAACTGGATACTGTATGATACTCAACAACTAAGGCGGAAGCCGGAAGCCCGGAAGCTGACCGGTTCGGCCATGCTTGACTCATTCAACCGTGCTGTCTTTCTCTTTAAAGAATATCATAAAGGCAGCTGACAAGGATCTAACAACTGCCGCAAAATTTGCCCATGTTACAAGTATAATTCAGTATAAAAGTCTTTCTTTTTCTTTTCTTCCTCTGCCTGTCAAAACTTTCAAGAAGCAAAAAGTTCATTTCAGAAGTGTCTTGAACCAATTCACCTTTAATACGAGTATAGTAAAGTTGTGCCAAGAGCCATAACCCTATTATGGCTCTTGATGTTGCGTGCAAATGTTTTCTCTTGAGGTCTTTATGTCGTAGTGGGGTTTTGTGGCTGTAAAAAGTTGCAAAGAGTCGAAGTGAAAATTTACCAACCGAACTGAATACTAAATGATACTCAATAACTAAGGCGGAAGCCGGAAGCCCGGAAGCTGACCAGCTGCGCGATGTTTGACTCATTCAACCGTGCTGCTATCTTTCTCTTTAAAGAATATTAAGCAAGGCAACTGACAAGGATCTAAATAACTGGCGCCGATTTGGCCTTGTTCCAGGGCAAAAGTTTACTCATAGTTTTCTATGAGCTGCGTTTGTTTGTACGTTTATCTTGAATCGTGCTTAGTTACTCCTTCATGTAGTGTACCAGGAGCCGACTCCTGAGTGTACCTACTTTGCTATTTCGATAGAAAAGCCGAACGAAAATATACCTTTGCATTCTTAGAAACTCAGAATTTGAAAGGATTGCCTATATGCACGAGCATTTTATTTCGAACAATCTTGAGCCGGATCATTTAGCCCTATAATACCCATAATGTGTGACAACCATTTTATGGTAGATATAACTACTGGGTTAGACCTCCTTACAGACAATAAAATTTGGTCGAAACAACCAAGTTGATAATTATGGTGAAATAGGCCAAAGTAGATTTTTGGAGATTAATTATTAGCCTCTTCAAGTTTCTCTTGAGCTACTGAAACTGAAAAAAATTTCCTTTCTGGAAAAAACATCTGTTACTGGCCATTTTCCTGTTAGGATACGTCCAGGAACCGGTAAAAATAAACTAAAGTACATTGAATCAAAATCGTAAGCACCAGAAGCTCCGTATGAAAGCGACGAGGATGCTCGTCGCATCACAGCTCACCCAGGCTCTGGGATAGTACCACAGTACGGTTCCAGTAAAATTACAGTGTTTGTATGGGGTAAAAATACCATCCTAAAATTTCTAGGAAATACTAAATAAAGATCAATAAAACTTACTCTGCAGTTAATTGTTGTTGTCCTTATTACTCCAACGAAGTTTCGTGACAATTTGCAGTAATTTGTTCAAATTTACTCTATATGCAATAATATCGATTAACTACGTCTGGAGGGATATTTGCCAGCAACTAAGGAGGAGGAGGTAGGGTATTCAATTCCAACATTTTTCGTGTTATTTGCCTCACCTCAGCTCTTACCTTGCTCACGGAATTGTTTACCTGTGTCAGTGTACTCGTCTTTCGAAGTCAAACAAAGCCTGTCACGCCCTGACTGGTCTCTTTTGGGTTTAATGCAAATGTTTTCGAGGAGCATCCCCATACGCAGTACTCATCTAATGCGAGAGTCATGTCCAAACCCCTCCCCGCAGGACTTTGCCTAACGCGCAAGCATTGAATATTCAAATAAGTCTTTTTTATTATTCATTTCAGCATGGCAGTGATTGTCTCTCCTTTGGATGCGCCAGTGGAAACGAAAATAGGTGAAGCTGAAGAAACAACCTACTTCTTTAATAAGAACGAGCATGCAAAACGTCTGCTTGAGAACCTTGCAGAGATGCAAGTAAATGGGCTTCTCACTGATGTAGTCGTGCGCACTGGATCAAAGGACTACGAAACTAACTTCCATTGTATGTTACTCGCAGCATGCAGCCAGGTTGTGAAAAAAAGACTTGTTGAGAATGAAGAAAGAAGTATCGTGCTCCAAGAAATGAGCCAGAAAAAGCTTGAATTCTTCAAGGGTTTCATCTACAGATCCAATGTCATACTAGACAAAGGCATTATAGATGACCTCCACAATTTTGCCGTCAAGTATGGCATCGACGACCTGCAAGCCATTTGTGAGAAATACAAACATATTCGAGACGAACCGAGCCACCAGCTGGAAATTGCTTTCGATGATCAGGAAGAGGTACTACTTGAGCTGTTTAGCATGTTTCTGGAAAAGAATTTCACAACAACAGTTTTGGAGGACGAAAAGGGTCAGACCCAAATTGAGGTGCATGGGCAACTCATTGCGGCAGCCTCACCGATGTTAGAGGAACATCTTGAAGATTCTTCAGCAAGAGATAACGATAAACTTCGGCTAAACATCTCGTCAGACGCCCTTGCAGAATTTGTTGACTACATCTACTGTGCAAAAGTGACTTTGCGACGCCAGAATGTCCTAGATCTACTACAAGTTGCATGTAATTACGAGCTGCCAGCACTTGCAAAAGTATGTTGTGAATGGGTAGCTGCAAGACTCGACTCCTTCGATGTGGTCCGCACCTTGTGGTGGGCTAAAGAATTGGATTCTGTCTACACGGAAGATTTGGAAAATCCTGCAAAAAGCTACATAGTCGCCAATTTCAGCGAATTAACGACAGGCCAAGAATTCAATTTGCTGGTTTATGAAGATCTGAAGGAAATTATACAAGATGACAAGCTAAGCATCGAGAGGGAAGAAGACGTGTATGCTGTTGTAATGAAGTGGATAGAATATGACAGAGATTCCCGTTCACCGTACCTGTGTGATCTGTTAACCTGTGTTCGCCTGGAGGTCACAAGCAGAGAGTTTTTGGCTGAATTAGAGGATGACCAGCACATAAGACGGTGCTCTGAGTGCTTTCAATTGCTTGGTGAGGCTCGACAGAAGCTAGCTGCTGATGGGGATGAAAGAAGGCCTGCCTTGGGTGAATACAAAGATGACTATGAGAAAGAAGTTGATCAAGACGCATTCTCAGATGACGCTTCTTTGTCTCAGTTCTCAGATGATGAAACCCTCAAGGATTATGAAAGCTTACCTGAAGAATATTTGCCTCAAGATAGCCTGCCCCAAAGCCGCGAGCCAAGAGAAATGCGTCTGCGTAAGGATGGTCGACCGGATATGCGTTTGAAAGAAAATCGGCGGTTTTACTTAGCAAAAGGAACCAATAAAAACGGTAACCCAGATAGAAGGATTGGTGAAAACAGAGAAACAGTGCTGATGAGTAGTCGCAACGGCAAGGAAATGTGGCCCGACAGAAACGAATCGGTCATTGATGACGCGTCTTCCGTTTCGTCATCAGAGGAAAAGATTTCAGATTTTTCCGATGACATGTCTTCCGTTTCATCACCATTTTACCGAGGACCATTTCCTCAAGATTGTCTGCGCGACAGCGAGGTGACTAGAAAGCATCGACTTCGGAAAGATGGTCAGCCAGATATGCGATGCAAAGAAAACCGAAAGATGTACCTGGAAGACGGGATAAACAAAAATGGAAAACCGGACAGAAGGCTCAGAGAGAACAGTATAGAAGTTCCTGGCCCATTGAAGAAGGACGGCACCCCTGACATGCGTTATAAAGTGAACAAAGATTTCTTTGGTCGTAAAGAGCGAAAACCAGAGTCGCCTCACACACCTAGTAATTTTCAGAGAGCTACTGGACAATTGAGGAAGAACGGCGCCCAAGACAAAGGGAACAGAGGAGCCTTGGAAAGTTCTTGTGCGAGAGCGATCTCCTTCCAGCTGCCTTCCACCCCTAGCGGCTTTGCTGGGCCTGTAAAGAAAGATGGCACTCCAGACATGCGCTACAATGTCAACAAACAACTATACAGCGCATGCTCCGCCACCAGAAGTATCCAAAAGAGTTCTCCATGCGGACCTCTGCAGAAGAATGGTACACCAGACATGAGGTATGCTGCAAACAAGCAAGCGCACAGTCGTGCGCCGTTGTCGTCCGGGGCCTGCGGTCCCCTTAAGAAAGATGGCACCCCTGATATGAGGTTCAAGGCCAATCGACGTTGAAAGAAGGTGTTTATTGGAAAATGGGAAGACAGTCTTTCAAAAGCAACACATACTGACATACTTGCGTTGAAGATGGAACTCTCTAATAAACGCCACGTTTCACAGCGCAGAGGAGTACAAGACCTTCTTAGTTGGTTTTTTAAAACAACAGAAGCACTGCGATCACTAACTTCAGAACTTCTTGGAAGGAGATCACAACAGAAAATACGTTCGTGGGTCACTCAAAAAATCTTACTTACTTTCATCGAGGCTAGTTTACTTTTGGTTCTCATGAAATAATATTCATAGCCTCAGTGTAAGTCAAGACTTTTCCTGCAAATAGATAAGTTGTTCAGCATTCAGTGCAATGTTCGTGTTTAGAAACGTTTATTTGAAGACTTTCGAACTAATGTAAAACGAAACCCCCTTACTGATCAAAATAAACCACGAGGTTGATAACTTACTAGAATCTTGACCTCGATAAAAGTACGAATTACGAACTGCTTCAGGCAGGCCCCAGAATCAAGTAAAATGAGAAAAAAAAGTGTGGTGCCGGGGGGAAGGGAGGGAGCGGGGAGGGGGGATAATGACCTTGCCAATTTTAACAAAAAAAGAAAATCAGTGCAGGAACCTTTTTACATGGCTTGACGAAAACATTGTTTTGTACCTTTCCAGATTATGCTTTTGTATTGAAGCATTCTGTAGCCGCTTGACTAAATACAACAATCGTCAGTTCGGGAAACCATAACAGCAACGCGTTTGTTTTGACATCAAGCTTTTATTGATTAATGTTGAAGTCACTCTTCTTTTACCCCAGTCATCAATTAATCGATAACCATTCGTCTGACGACACGATCTACAGTAAGAACAAAACACCTCAACGGGATTAAAAATCACTGAAAAGTACCGAAACAGAGTACTACTAAAAACGTCAAAATGAACCCTTGCAAAAGGAAACTCGGTTTTTCCTATGATATTTAAACATGCAGCGGGCCAGATTTTTTCGATACGTTAAGATATATTTGTTAATATGATAGAGCTTTTCATCCACAAGGCTGAGACTTCTTATGATAACAAATAATCATTCGACAACCTAACATACGGATATGTTCACACTAAGTGTATTATCTTCCTATCAGAAGGACGCAGGTTTGGTTGAAGCTACCTGTGAGCGTTTACACTTAACTATGCTGGCAATTTTATCCGTAAAATTATCCCGTGAGGTGTCAAGTCTTCAGAAACAAAACAGCCCAAAAGTATTACCATGCAAGACTAATCTAGCTAGAGGAGAACAGTTCCTCGCAGAAGGTTTTATAGTCGTAGGCTCCCGGAATCTCTCGGCCCTTGTCATCAACATACGGGTTCATCCGATCAATACAGTAGTCGGCCTGCTCCTTGGTGAGGGACTGGAACGAGAAGGAATTCAACAATTAGTTTATGAGGGTAGGAAAGCTTCAGCTTCGGCCACGGCCATTGGCTTACTGTCATAACAAGTCGACAGCAACGGACTGTGACATTAGCTAGGGATCTAAATGACAGAGGCACCTAGTTTAGCCTCCCACGCAGGCGTATTTAGGGGAGCTTGTTTTTCATCCCCCCCCACCCGACAAACGCCTGCTCAACCGAAAACAACATTCCCTTCCCACTGTTTTATTTGCGTGGTAAGTGACCAATCAACAGTTGTGCAATGAAGTGCTGACAGGCTAAACATGACTAAAACGTCACCCTAGAGTTACCGTTTTGTTCTTTTCTTCCCTTCGCTAAGGTTATGCAGTGCATGGAGTCTAAAATTTGACGAACTTTATTTTTGCCTCTCTGAATCTAACGTTTATTACAGGTCAGAAAGCTTTCCCTGTGTTTCATGCTGATCGAGTCATTATCAGATTGTGGTTAAGGTCAACTTTCCAGAATTTGGGACGTACAATGTGATTGGCTAAGCNTGATAACAAATAATCATTCGACAACCTAACATACGGATATGTTCACACTAAGTGTATTATCTTCCTATCAGAAGGACGCAGGTTTGGTTGAAGCTACCTGTGAGCGTTTACACTTAACTATGCTGGCAATTTTATCCGTAAAATTATCCCGTGAGGTGTCAAGTCTTCAGAAACAAAACAGCCCTAAAGTATTACCATGCAAGACTAATCTAGCTAGAGGAGAACAGTTCCTCGCAGAAGGTTTTATAGTCGTAGGCTCCCGGAATCTCTCGGCCCTTGTCATCAACATACGGGTTCATCCGATCAATACAGTAGTCGGCCTGCTCCTTGGTGAGGGACTGGAACGAGAAGGAATTCAACAATTAGTTTATGAGGGTAGGAAAGCTTCAGCTTCGGCCACGGCCATTGGCTTACTGTCATAACAAGTCGACAGCAACGGACTGTGACATTAGCTAGGGATCTAAATGACAGAGGCACCTAGTTTAGCCTCCCACGCAGGCGTATTTAGGGGAGCTTGTTTTTCATCCCCCCCCACCCGACAAACGCCTGCTCAACCGAAAACAACATTCCCTTCCCACTGTTTTATTTGCGTGGTAAGTGACCAATCAACAGTTGTGCAATGAAGTGCTGACAGGCTAAACATGACTAAAACGTCACCCTAGAGTTACCGTTTTGTTCTTTTCTTCCCTTCGCTAAGGTTATGCAGTGCATGGAGTCTAAAATTTGACGAACTTTATTTTTGCCTCTCTGAATCTAACGTTTATTACAGGTCAGAAAGCTTTCCCTGTGTTTCATGCTGATCGAGTCATTATCAGATTGTGGTTAAGGTCAACTTTCCAGAATTTGGGACGTACAATGTGATTGGCTAAGCTTGGAAAAGGAATGTTGCCTTCGGTTGAGCAGGCGTTCGTGGGGAGGGACGAAAAACGAGCTCCCCTAAAAACGCTTGCGAGGGAGGCTACAACTAGTCAGAAGGGGTGTTAGTAAATTTAGACGAGATTTTCACTGTTATAAAAGAGTCGCCTTTTAGAAGACATACTGGAGGAGACAACACATGCTGAATAACACTTCTCTTAAGCGGGGAGACGAAATGACTGAAACAAATACGTTTGAATCGTCGATGAGTCAAAGCTAAGACATTTCTTTAGGCATTCCAAATACAAGGTTTACTGAGGATTTTTCTCTAACAATTTTGTTAAATAAAGTAAAACATAAAAATGTGGACTGAATTGAGAATGAGACGTTTTTCTCTGCAATTCCATTGCACTCTAATCCGTACCTACAGTAGACTAGCAAAGTTGTACAAATTACCTGGTAAAGCTCTGCCTCGGTAACGTACGGACGTTTTCCACCCTCAGTGAGTGCTTTGAAGGCGTTGATGACCTCTTGACTGGAGCCAACATTTTCTGTCTCACGGCTGATCATGAAAGACATGTACTCTCCCATTGATACAACACCATCACTACACACAAAAAGAAACAGTTGGTAGTCAGTAACAGTGTTATAGGTCATCAACCGTCCAGCCGGTTCTCACTGCTGGAATCAGCAAAGTCGAATGCATGGTGATATTAATGAAGAAACATAAGACAGTTTTAATATTTCGGGACCAGCGTAGGGCAGTAAAGAAGAACTACACTGTAACGTAACTATTGTATATGTGCATGTATGCCAGATCATTATCCTGTTTCATATTCTCACCCGTTGGGATCCACCGTTCTAAGAATGGCTTCAAACTCAGGATCTTCCTCGCCCTCCTCCACAATAGACAGATCATAACCAAGCGACCGCAGGCACGACTTGAACTCCTGATGATCCAGATAGCCAGTTTTGTCCTTGTCAAAGTGTCTGGTAAAGAGATATAAATTGAGCCAAATATGAACACTTCACGTAAAGAGCATAACAGTTTTCAAAGCAAGTAGAATGTAAAAATTTCCCTTCACCTCTAACCAGCCAAAAAAGACTGAAACGCCTGGTTTAAGTGTACTTTATGAATTTTAGTTACAATCAATGCATCTTACTGATAGAAGGTGAAAGAAATTTAACATCTGTTTTTGAAAAGAACGTTTCCTTGATCAAGACAACGACCTGTCCTTTAAAAGCACCGTTGAAATCACAGGTCAAACATCTCGCTTTTGGAGCCAAAAATAACTCACGATGAAGTTTGCACAGTTGAGTGAGCGTGAGGGAGAAGTTATTTACCATGTAGTTTTTAGAATTTCAAAATTCTGCAACTGACATTTAAAGCTAATTTAAAAGTTTTAAACAAGCGAAGACACAACCACAACTTACTTGAACATGATGGTGAATTCTTTGAGCGTTTCTTCGGACACACCAGTTGTATTGCGGGCCTGGATTTGTTGTTCCAGATTGTGTTTCATGCGCATGGCAAGTTGATCCAGCTGATCCCACTGTTGAGCAAGGTCTACTGTGCTATGCTCCGTGTATCTAGACAACAAATCAAGTGCACATCAGAAAAACATCAGATGTTAATCACGTGAAAACAAAAGGCACGAGACACGCTAGACTCTGTACCACACCTTTTCAAGAAAAGACAACGCAGACGGAAGAAAATTTTCTCTAGCCCTTAAGGGTACGGTCAAGGATTATAACTCACTTGTTATCCAAGATGAGAGCTTCTTCCATCTGAGCCCCAAGATCCTCAATGATCCTAAGGTCCTCTTTCCTATCAGCGATCTCAGCACTCTTTTTCTTCACCTCTGCCAACTGATCTTCCAGGTCCCCTTGCCCATCAACCATTGCAACCCTGAAACAAAGAGAAGCGTCAACAAAATACTGCCAAGATAGGATTTTAGATACTAGCATTCGACGAGGAAGTTCTAGCCTGCGTCGTAGAAAGTTTTACGAGTAAGAAAAGTATAAATAGGTTATTTGCTGGTGCGGGAGGATTCAGATGAAGCAACATCCTGGATAAGTTTTCCAACGGCATTTTCCTTTCGACAGACTAAACAAACTATTGTAGGTCACGGTAAACGGCTTTTGTCCCTCAAAATTTCCCCACTATGCCGTACACAAACTGGCTTTGAATGCGCGAGTCAAAATGCACAGAGGGTCATCACCTTGTCGATATTTGGCAGGCATCACCCTCCCTGTCCGTTCTCTCCCCATTCTCCGACTCACTTTCTAAAACAGGACAGTGATGCCTCGGAGAAGGCTAACACTGGCCCACGGACAAATTTAACCAGAGGTTTAGTTTCGTCTGTGGCGCAGGTTAAGAAGCTCCGACGTATCCAATTTTGTATTTGCTAACGATTTTTCTTACCTCGTGTCAGTCAGCCAAGCATGGAAGGCGTTGGCTGCCTGAGCGAACTCCTGCCTCAGATTGTCATTGTACTCTTGACGCTGAGCTTCCTTGCGCAGATCATCCTCGCGCTCCTAAACAAAAAGTTAAAGATATTGATAACAATACTTTGGTCCAGTAGCGGTTTAAAATGAGTGCTGAATGTTAGTTCGTGTTTGCAGTCTTTTATGAGATCGACTAATTTGCGGCTTTATTAGAGTAGTGAATATCGCTCGAATTTCGAAGTGTTTCATGTCTTTACCAAGCGTAAACAAGTCAGCATAAAATGTCAAAAGCTGTTCAAGGAGTTGAGTTCGAATAATGAAGCGGTATTTCTGTGCGCGTGCTGGTATGTGGATGATGATTTGCATTTGCTGTTCTTAACAATTGGATAAAAAAAAACTTCCCGCCAAATCCTCTTAACCAATAATAACTTGATTGTACGCGTTCTTCCCGCGCTAGGGGTCAGCGACTCGAATATGCTTTTTTTTCGTAAAGTTCACTGGTGATCGTTATGTTAAAACTCTGACGGAAAGCAGAGCAGAACTGTTTTGCCATTTGTTGTTAAGGGTCTTTCACTTCTTTATAAAATTAACTTGATGATGTAATTGTTACCCGGACTGCGGAAACGCCAATAGGAGAGTCGCAGCTATTTGCACAAAATTCATTTGAATAAAAAAAGGCAAATCTCAGATGTAAAAATACAAACCTCGATTATCTTCTGTAGATTTTCCCAGGTATCCTCCAAGGCCTCCATTGTGAACCAGGTGTACCTAAACACATGAAAAGCGTCAAATATTAGCGTTTTCATGTTGTTAGAAACTTCATGTCTTAAACAGAGAGACAACAGCGTCCAACTCTCCTCTAAGTGTTTAATCACTTACGGGTTTATGGAGACATTGTAGCTCTTGATCTGCCGATCCAGCTTACGTAACATCATGATATCATCCTCAGCTTGGTCCAGAGACGCTCGGAACTGAGTGTGCCCATCTTGCAAAGCCTTGTGGGACAAGAAAGGCGTTAATTGTAAGTTTGGACCTGCTGTAGCACCTTCTGGCAATATAACCTGTCCCAGCAGGAGTTCAGATAGTGGAAAATGGCCCGAAATTGAGAGCGGAGAAGGAAAACCCTCGTGGTGTTTTCCTGCTCACTTTTTCTTTCCGCCTTCCCCACCATCTAAGAGCCCGCTGCGTTCGTTATCGTAAATGCACGTGACGCTTCGACACGAACCCTGGGGAAAATCGCTAGCCGAAACGAATAGTTCGAACACTTCAATTGAACAGTTCGTTCGATTGAAGGTATCTTCTTTTTTTCCTAATAAAAAGCCTTAAGACATCCTAATAGTAGTGGCATTGTCAGAGTACCAACAACCCCAATGATATAGAAACGTATTTGCTACTTACACGTATTTCTTCAACAGAGTTGCATCGCACTGGATCAGTTAGGTCTTCCTCTGCATTTTCAAACCAACTGTTGAAAGCAGACGCCTTCTTGGCGAACAACAGGAACAAGTCCTCAACCTAAACAGACAGATACACGATGATTACCTGTACTGCAATGGTACCACGATAACACTCAAGATTTCACGTTTTACGAGGTTACGAAGTACGATCACACTCACGATATGACTTCACGAGGTCAGCTTTTTAGCTTCAAAGTAATTTCGCACAGCTGTAGCTGACACAATTCCAGTTCGATTTAACCTATACTTAAATAATTATTAATAAACAAAGAAATAAACACTTGTCAACAGTTTCACGACTTTGCAGGGAAATAACCGTGCAGCTTTCATTTACCTTCTTGTACTGATCCTGTGCATGTTGAAGCCTTTCCTTACGAGTCCTAGAGTCTTCCAAAAGCTGTTCCCACCTAGAAATATAACAACAGCAATGTATTGGCGTTGCTTATTAAACAAAACAGGGCCCTTTGTCTCTCTTGTCCCGTGAGGGGGGCGGGGAACAGGGAACAGGGGATGGGGGACAGGGGTAAGCCTTCGCGTTACTTAGACTGTTCACAGTCCCCTATTTTTCGATCGTCGAGATCGAGCGCTTTGCGTTACGGGCGGCCATCTTGGTTTCAAATGTTCCAAGTTTAGCCTAGCGATGAGTGTCAAGTCTACTTAGGTGGCGAGTGATTGGTTATGCTAAAAGGACGTTTCCAAATAAGGCTATCACGCTCGTCAGCCATTGGGTAGAGGAGTTTCTTACCTCCTAATAAGGTCATCATGACGTTTAATGATGGCAGGTGTCTGTTCGTGTTGTGATTGGACCAGCTCATCCTTCAGCACTGTCACGCGTGCGATTCCTTCGTTTTCAAACGCTTGGAGACCAGAGTCAAAAGTTTCCTAAAATACAAATACTAAGTTATAAAATATGAAGGCATAAACGGTAAAACGCACATGTGCAAATAGCCTTTCTTCATGTCACAAACCTGTTTGGTGAAAAGAGTCTGCACAGAAGATAAATCTCGTCCCAGATCATCTGACCGAGCTATTCCTTCCTTGTCACCTACAAAAGATAAAGAATTTGTTGAGCACTTTTAACAGACACTGTGAACAAAGGCACCTTAGTCTAGAACCATATATGACAGTTACAAAGTTCTTGGAAGACAGCATCACGACAGTCGAGACCACTTCGCTTGCTATGGTCACTCGCCATGGAAATCAACGTTAGGGAAGAAGTTATTGTAAATGGCAAAATCACAACTTGCTAACAAACAAATATGTCCGCCAAGAATTACGTATAAGTAAAACAAAACAGCGATAAACTTTCAAAAACTATAAGGCCGAACAATTTTCAAAAACCCCGATTGTGATCTGTTTTAATCTTCTTCAATTTTCTCCATCAGTGCCCTTTTGTATTTTCTATGTCATTTAAGCCTTCCTTGAATGTTCTAAGCGGTTATTTTTATGTTCACTAAATAAGGTGGTCAGTTCCCACCGTATGAATTCGGCGAAATTGCGTTAATAGCTTCGTTGATTCACTGGCACTTTGAGTCTCCATCCGGATAACATTTAACTTTTAGTCCCGCTTTGGACAAAGCAGTAAAGGACACGTCCGAACAACATAGAGTTTGAGAAATGGGAAAATGAATGAAATATAACTCAAACAGGTTTTAGAAGAACAAATTAAACAAATGTAGCTCTAACCAATCCATGATTCTACAACATCTGCCTTCCAGTTGAACTGCAAGAAAGCTGAGTTGTCGTTCAGTTTGGATTTCCGATAGGATGCCATCCTCTCCAATTCCTGCAGCTTGCTCTATACGCAAAAATAAACGAAACAGTAAATAAAGACAATTAAAATAAATAAAGACGACACTCGTTTGTTGCTAAAAAGAGCAGTCAAAAGAGGTTTGTTGTAGGATAAGTGGAAATGATGACTACAGAAAGATAAACAAACGTTATTACCTTAATGGATGAAATCCTGTGTTCAATCAGTTCAGATTGGTGATTTCCCTGAAAAGACGAAAAAATATATTTCCTTACATTAGCATCCCATGGACGCTACATTTATACTCAAGAGTACTCACAGAGTTTGCTCTGAAAACACGACTTCCGACCAAGCCTCAGAGGCAAATCCGTCGACCACATTGCTACTTAACAAAACTTCATCTGTCGTAAATTAAATTAGTGGTAATGTCTGCATTGGAAGGATTTTGCGGAGTGGAAACATTTTTTTTCTTAATAAATATTGGGCTTCCTTGGAGGTGAAACTATCACAAAGCATTATTGAAGTGAACTTCATGACTAACCTTTTCAATCAGCTTATTTCCAGAATCGTCAATGTCCTGCACCCTCTCCCTATGAACCTCCAGATCAGTCTCAAATGCTTCATGTTTCTTAAGAAGACCCTGGTTAAAATCAAGAAAAAGTTACGTTTGTTTCCATCAAAGAATCCTACTGTATTTAAAACGGTTTAGAAAACTTAAAATGATAAGCGTTAATATACCTAATTCAATAAAGGTTACTTTGGCAATGGAACGTTGAAATTGGGGATTTGGGGATATGGAACTGGTTACCCACTGCAATAATCTGCGTGAGTGACCGCCAAACAATAGCTTCCCAATGCGCAATGGCAGTTGCCCAACGCCCAAAACAACCTTTATTGAATCAAGTCAATTCATACCGATATATACGGTCTATTCTGTGTTTGATTCCGTATTTATTCCATTAAACACCGCGGCGTTTAGTAGATTTGGAGTGTTTCCGTTTTTGTCTTAGATCACTGCCAACAATTACGATAAATCATTTGCACATATTACGTAAATAAGAAAGATGTTAAAAGTTTCAATGTCTCGCTATTTTTGTTGAGATATATAGAATCGTGATTACCTGAATGGTGTATAAAACAAAGTTGTACCGTTTTTTTATTATAATCCTCGAATATAAGCCGCATTCTTTTGATTGGGAGGGGCGTTTATTCAAGGGCGTCGTTTATTGGTAATTTTACTTCCACAGACGGCGATTCTTCGAGAGCAGCGTTAAATCGAGTGAATACAATATGTGAATTTAATTCTTACCTGAACAGCAGCCAGCGTGTCACCATAGTCGTCACTACCAACAAGAGTATTCTTTTCGTTGATCCAGGATTCCTCTTCACCCACATTTGCACTGAACTGTTGGTAGGCAAGAGACTCGTCCAGCTTGTGCTGTCTAAAGAAATAAAACCAACACAAATCTAAGACAGTTCCATCAAAGCAACCGAATAACTTAGAACACTGAGCTGCTGGTTTACAAGTCAACCTCTAACGCAGAACCAACAATAGAGACCATTTAACTGTTGGGCAACCATACCATCAGCTCTAGTTGGTAGAGCTGATTGAGCTCTACGTTAGTATACATGATTCAAGTCAGGGTTAATTAAAGACTGATATTTAAGTACATAAACAGGAACGTTGGCTGTAGAATAAACAATAAATTCAAGTACTGTACGAGGTGCAGCCGACACAGCACTGTACTGACAAAGCATTGCAAAAGCAGAATCTGTTTAGGGAGGAAACACTTTGTGACGTTATCTTAGACTATCCTGGTACAGCACCTTTGTTCAGCAAGATTCTTGAGCTCATCCCAGTTTTCCTGAAGCTGATCACAACGGGCCTTGATCTCATCAGAGCTGCTGTGACCTTCATCAATAAATTTATGTCCGCATGCCAGGACAGCCTATAAGGAAACAAATGTGATTAAGAATCTAAATTCTCCATTCACTGCATTTACAGTAACAGTTAAATGAAAAATGAGATTTTCACCTGAATCCTTGCTTCATGATTGTTAAGTTCAGCTTCAAGTCGTTGGTGTTTCTTACGCAGGTTTTGCACTCCAGTCAAGTCCTTGCCATAATCTTCAGAGCTTGTTAACAACTTCTTTTCCCTGATGAAAAAATAACATCACATTTTATGTTATGCTTACAACATGAGCGCCAAGTTAGCCTTAAAGTATAATTTAAATCCAAAAGAAAAAATATCGTAGGAGCCAAAATAACACAATGCTCACGTTGGAAAAGGTTTCAAAAACCTTCCTGTAGATCTGACCATTTTTTAGAGCTATAAAACTCCGCCACATTTTACTACATTTACAGACCTTCATCACACAAAAAATGTCCTTTACATTTCTCTCACGAATTAATGACAATTTTTTAAGCACTTCACAACGTTTGGAGGAATAACTTACTTAATCCAGGACTCCTCATCATCCAAATCCCGGTAGAACTGGTGCAGAGCATTGGACTCATCCAGTTTCTTGTGGCGATCTTCAGCCATGTCCTTCACCCTACAAAAAATCATCATGTCTAATACCACTGCCTTTGACTGTTTGGGAGTGTGTTTGTGAGTGTGGTGGGGGTGGGGGGTGTAGGGAGGGAAAAAGGAGAAATAGGGCTGAAAGGTAGTGAGAAATTAGCCAGAGGGTAGCAAGCGACTGCTATCCGCAGCAGAAAGTTCGAGTTGGCTGTCTTGTAGTGATGAGCAGAATGTTTCACAAGCATTGTAACTTGTAAGTATGACAGGTTAACTTACTTGTCATAGCGCTCGGCAATGCCACGAGATTTATCCTGTAGGGAATCGGCATCAAAATGACCAACTTCGGCAAAATGCTGAGTTTGAGCCTGCAGATCTGTTATACGATCCTGAAAAATAAAAGATTTTTTTGTAAGTCGGCAAAGTAAAAATGCGACATTTTTGGCAGAAATTTAAACAGCAACATTCTAGCTTATCATCCACTTTATACTTACTTCATGGGCAGCAATATCTGCCTCAACAAGCTGGTGTTTCTTCATCAGATTCTGTACGCTTGCTAAGTCACGACCATAGTCATCTTGAGAGAGGGATGCTTCTACCTAAAATAACAAGATAAAAGGTTCATAAGTAACTTGGTGATCCAGCTAATTTGTATACAAATGTAAAGGGAGCTTTAATCATTATACAACGACAACTAGGAACTACCGCTGTTTTTTTCCTAATCCTCCTTCTCCACCATGAAAGACATTGCCTCCTTTGCATTCTCTCTTGATCTCCATGGGTACAAACGAAGGGAACTTTCCATTTGTCAGAACTGGCCAGCCAGACCAATCCTGTCATTATGAGAGTTTCACTTTTAATCAAATCTGTCTGGCCAAATTAGTCATTTGCTGAATAATATGCATGGGGTTGATGGCGTGTTTTTTAGAAAAACTCTTTAAGATGGCCTATTTCATTTTTGAAATGACCGGTCTGGCTGGCTAATACTGACTGGCGCCCTAAGGGTTCCTGTGCTGTTTCGTCCAGTAATGAACAATCCAAGCTTTGAGCACACAAAACTAGCCTCTCCAGACAGTTGGTGTCTTGCGTATGACACTGAAGACTTCATTGTCCCTTGCATAAACCTTCAAGTTACTTCTGAGTGGTCTCATCTGCCAACACAACTCCACAGGTCAGGGAATTTTATCTTACCTCTCCAAGCCAGAAATCCAACTCTTTGACATTATTGTTGAACTGTTGTTGCTGATTAGATTCCTTTAGGTGCTGGCTTTTCTCGCTGGATTTCTGTACCAAGTATTCCCACTGCTGTTGAAGTTTAGTGATTCTTTCCTTAACAATCTCCTCGCTTCCTGCACACTTCCGTTGTTCAATAAGACCTGCACAGAAAAGAGGAAAAAGTCAGCAAAAACAACACCTGTTTTCGTGTAACCAGCTCCACTTTATCAGGAAGCAGAAAAGACACTGGGATGTGGCCATCATAAAATTTGCTGGAATTCTACTTTCAAAAAGTCCTTAAGATGAGAAAGCACTTAATCTTCTCCTGAAACACAAAACTTAAAGTTGTTTCATTCTTATAATACTGAAAAAGGCCGGATACCATGGAGAAGGGATCCTGTTGAAAAGATTTTAATTGGCCGGTCAGAGCAAAGAATTTCACCAAGTGAAATAAAAGTTACAACCTCAACACATCTCCATATCTGGCTCAGGAGTAAGACTTTGCGTTTGAAGAATATCATTTTTACCTTCTGCCAAGTTGATTGTCTCTAAAACCCGCTCTTGATTGGCTGACACTTCAGCTTCAAATGCCTGGTGCTTCTGGAACTTGGACTGAAAAAACAAAAACATAAAAGTTTTCTAAAAGACTGAATAAAAAAAACTTCCCCTCATCTAAAAGGTAACAGTTCAATATAATTGCCAGAGAATTGTCTTGTGCATTGTTCACAATATTCTCCAGAGATTGCAATAAGAAGAACAATTTGCCAGAAAACTACATCCATTATGGCTGATCATTTCATTTACTATCTGTCTGCTGCCCTGCATAAAGCTATTGCAGCAATAATATGATGATGAACATGACTGAGCTCAAGCTAAACATAACTGAATCGCACCTGTAGGTTGGTTGGATCTTTGTAAGATTCATCCAGAACAGTCTGCAGCTTTTCACTGACCCAAGCCTCAATGTCTTCAGCATCACGGCTGAACTGCTGAATGGTTTTAGATTCACCCAGCTTGGAACGACGCTCAACAAGTGCTGCCTTTAGTGTAGCCCACCTGCAGAGCAAAATAAGTGGAAAGAACATTAGACAAGCAGTTACAACTAGAGTTGCAATGATACCTTTGTACATGTTATGATAAAGGTAGCGTTACAAGGGTTATGATACAGTACACATTTTCTACTTTACACATTGTTGAAAGGGACTACAGTCAACTCCTTTTAAGACAGAAACCATTGAGGCCAGCAATAAGTGTCCATCTCAGAGGTGTAAAAGGGAGTAAAGAAAGGCAGGGACCAACTCTGACAACTCTAAGTTTTCTGTATCAGCAAGATGTCTGTTCACAAGAGAATTGTAGTTAACGTGTATTAAATACACGTTAACTACACGTTAACTACAACGCTCTTGTGAACAGAATATGACCAGAAGTGGGGGGAGTGGGGATGGTTTTCTTGTTTAAATATCTGTATTTGAACCTGGGGAAGTAATTTGGTGGTCCACCAATGCATAAGTTCATTGCTCCAGCCGTTTTTTGATATTATACAAGAAGGTGATTGGATTCCTAAAGTGTTCTGAAAAAAGTTGTAAGTGGAGTAAAATTTTATATCACGAATAGGAATGGGACCTGCAAATAAATTTTTTAAAAAAAGCTGTCGTTGCAATGGTGAGAGAAAAGAAAGACTGTTTTATTACCTAGCCAAAACAGTAGCAATCCTCTCTGCAATTGCCGGAGAGTCATAGTGATTAGCTTCAATCAGCTTATCTGCATTGTCCTTCAGAGCATTGATCTTCACATCCTGAACAGCCAGAGTCTTGGTGAAGTCTTCATGCTTCTTAATAAGAGCTTCTGCACCTTCAGCTGCTTCTCCAACATCTTCACTCTGAATGATTGCCTCACGGGTGGCCATCCACTGCTCCAGTTGCTCAGCATCACGGTTGAACAGCTGTTGGATTTAACCAGATAGGTTGTGTTAGTGAGACAGTTAACCCTGAGATGGTCTCCAACTGGGAAGAGGAAAAAAGGCCAGCCAAAAACCACCTGGAGGAGAATAGTGATGAAAGACCTGGAGGAATTGGGTCCAAAGCTCAGGACAAGGTTGAATGGCGACGTTTGATTGCAGCCTTATGTTCCAGCCGGGATGAAGAGGATGAGTGAGTGAGTGAGTAAAACGGCTAAGTTATCAAAGAGTATAGGTAAAGAAGAAATCGTACACAGAACAGGCTAGAGTAATTCTACTGACCTGCAGTTCAAAGCATTCATCAAGCCTCTGCTTGCGAGCAGCCCAAGCCCTGTAATTAACGCATTCCAATGCATAAGGAAAACAGACATTCAGACACAGTAGACCTGTCTTTATAGAACTTAAAATTAATGAAACATTGCTTCCGGCTCATTTCAAAACATCCAAAATGCTGGCAGACATATGCCTGTTTATTGAGCAGCTGTGAGACTCATTATCTCATTGGCACAAATGAAAATCCTGAGTCGTCTACAGACAACAAACCCCCAGCAAATCAAAAACAGGGCAGATGCTTTATCCCAAGAGCTGTTAAGAAAAATGTATTTAGCAAGTCTACTGATTCTCAGGCCTTGTATATAGAGATCCTTTTCGCTCCCCAAACGGCAAGTACATTACAAGCCACAAGCAAAAGCAATATTTTCGATTCGGCCAGGTTTTGCACACAGTGTAATAGGGACACTTACTTTTCAAGTTCTTCTCGCTCCTTAGCCATTGTGTCCAATTTTTCACGGATATCAGGACTGGCATAGTGTTCTTTGTCCAGTAACTCTTTGCCAAAATCTTCAAAAGCTTGGAAAGTACTATCACGTGCATCAATTTCTGCTCTGTGTTCCTGTATTTAACCATTTTTTCAGCATTTAAAGAAAACCACTCTTATTCATGAAGAAAATCCCTCTATGAAAATATTAAACTGTTGCCACCTTTTAGACAAAGACAAAACTAAGAGCAATAGGGATAGATCTGGTATATTTTGATCAAATAACTTAGTCTTCATCAGTCCGGAGAAGAAGTTAAGTGACAGCACAGTATCATGATCACTAGTAATTATTGCTAGTATCTTGTCTTCAAGTCATGTACATGCACTTCATTGACAGTGCTCCAATGGCTCTTCAAGTCCAGTCAGTATTTCAGGGTTTGTAACATTTTGTTCTCTTCAAATTCCGCAACTTTCAATAACTTTTTCACGACCCTTTAAAGTTTTCTAGGACCTTACGTTTAGTTATCACTTAAACTTTTTAATACTATCCTTGTTAATAGGGTATTTTGTTACCTAACACAGTTCAACAGACAAAAACTCATATGTATACTTGAATGTGTGCCATTTGCTCTGTTTAAATAAGACAAGGGTGGTCTCCATATACTTGTGGTATGTTATTACCTGGTGTCTGTCCAAGAGGGCTTCAGCACTGGCCACATCTTTAGCAAGTTCATCTGATGTAACAAGAGCCATGATACCATTGATCCAGGACATGAGATCTCTAAAAATGGCAAACAACACTAATTCACAAGTCGGAAATAAGCTGTAAGGGGCCATTGTACTGAGATCTGCTAAGGCATAGCCTGGAGACTGGAAAAGGTAGAAATCAAACTTACCTAAACTCATTGAGGAAGTTAAAGTAATCATATGAATCTCTTAACTTGCCCTTCCTTGCAGCAGCCTAATAAAAAGAAGAAAAGAAAAGAAATATTTCAACTGAAAACAATAACTTTTTAGTTTTCACTGTGAAACAAAGGAGTAAGCAACAGACCTGTTCACGTAAGCTTGCCCAAGCCTCTTCTAATTCATGTCTCTTCCATTCAATGTCCTGCGCAGCATTCGGGTGGCTGGAGGTCAGTTTAGCTGCTTCCACATTCAATTCTCGAACCTGGTGGGAAAAAATCCAGCATACAGAGCATTGTTGAAATTATAACTCTATGCCTTTGGAAGTGGCATGCTTCTGCAATGCTAAAAACAGGGATTGCAAATTTTATTGATGAGTGGAGTCACTGTGACTTCCGCTTCACAAATTTTGGAGTCATTTTGGAAAATTTGGAGTCAAGTATCACAAAGAAAAAAGCCATTTTCAGACTTTACAGCACGTGGTCCTGGCATGAATAACTATCGTGATGGATACACGGTGTAGCTGTTGGGGTCCACTGACCTAGAAAGCTCAAATCCATGATGGCGGTCATCAAGTAAACTTTGATCGTAATTTACCCTCTTCCTGTTTTGTCGTGCAGTATCATTCTTTAATTTTGATGATTTAATTAAGGTTTACAACGTTTACAATTAACGTAAATTGCATTTGTTGTGAAAAAGGTAGGGACAAAACTGTTTGTTACCGAAAATTTCTGGAGTCGAAGTGGCTCCCTGTTTGTTACCGAAAATTTCTGAAGTCGAAGTGACTCCCTCCGTAACCTCCGTGGAGTCATCTGAACAATTTTGGCGTAAAATACGCCAAATTTGGCGTATTTGCAAACCACACTTTAACAACTGTTTATCAAACCTTCTCTTCCAAAGCTGCCAAATCTCGCTCTAACACTTCATGCTTTCTCTGCAAGGCCTGGACACTAGCCAAATCACGGCCGTAATCTGATGTAGACAGTGCTGTGTCTTTTTCCGAGATCCAAGCTTTAGTGTCATCAGCATCCCTAAAAACACCACACAATCATTTAGTATAAAGACACAAAATAAAATTTGCTTTTCTCACACAAGAAAATGTTACAAAATCGAGTCAAAAACAACCTTACTTTAGAAGATCATTACTATTAACCAAGACAATGTTTTGTAGTGATAGTTTTTATTTTGTGAGGATCTTAAGAAATGGCCAGACATCCTAATGAGTTCCTTGTTTCTCATACTTTTTGCCAGGATTTCCTCAAAAGTGTGTTTTCACCCCAGTTACCAATCTAGAGATCTTAGATGTCTTTGTACCACAAACGAGTCAGAATTGAGAAGCAGAGGATAGTATCTTTTGGCTAGATTCAAGGGACAAACCCAGTATGGCCAAGAAAGCAAAGTGTAAATTTAAAATGCAGTGGAAACCTTTAGTGTCCATTACCTGTGGAATCTTTGAATCTCCTGGGCATTGTCAAGGTTTTCTTTCCTTTGTTCAGACATGACCACTAGGTTCTTCCACTTCTGATTTAGTCGCTGTTAAAGGAAAGCCAACACCTCATAAAATACAGTTATTTTACTTGCTTTGATGCAAATATAATCATTTTATATGACTTGTTAGGCCATTTTATTGATCAGTCATCAAACAATTAACCTACTGATAGAGTGAACTGGTAAGTCAAGATGTTAGATGAAGATGATTGGGACTGCTCAATTAATTATAGTGCAATGCCACAGTTTGGAGTTAAAATAAATGACATAATGAAGTCAATAAAATAATATATAATTGTCCTTTTTATAGTCAGTGAGCAAGCATTCTACTGGTCAGACACTCAGTTCACAGTTAGTCATTCAGTGGGTTATTATTTCAGTGAGATAGTAAAATGGTGAGCCAAAATTAAAATTTACGGTCCAGGAAAAAAAAATTATTTGTTCTGAACATTCAGTCAGTCAGTCAGTTATTTTTTCAATCAGCTGGCCTTACCTCAATCATTTCACGGATCATTTCATATTCAGAATAGTGTTCAACCTTCAACTTCTCAGCAAGTATAGTCAGCTCTCTGATGCGAACCTCTTTGGAGATCATGTCCTACGTAAAAAGCACATTATTTCATGTTAGTTACCAAAAAAGACCCTGCTAAGTGAGTACAATCATTATCACATACCTTCTCAAAGTCATCAAACTTCTTTTGTTGTGCTTCAACATGCTCAAAATCCTTTCCGACCTCTTCAGAAGTTACAATGGCTTCCTGAAAGGGAATATACCCACCAAATGTCAGCACTCCAATAACTAGCGGCATAAAAAAACTTATTTTTTTCGATATCAAAATGTTGAGCATGTGAGTATGATTACTACAGTCCTTTTTAATTCCAAGCCTTGTTTGTACGGCTGTTAGAACAAATTTGAAGCATTCATGCATCACTTATTTAGCAGGAGTTTTAGTGTAATAAATATTAATATTAATAATAACACTAATAAATACTATTAATAGTACAAGACATATTGTCTAAAAGGGATGCTGGTGTCTCAGTACAAAATATTGTAAATGTTTAAGACTCCGTACAGTTAAGTCTCTGTAGCCTAGCTTTTTATATGTTAAAGAATACTTGTTTGTGCGTGATGCTTCATTTCTATTCAAGGATTGAATAACATCTGTTACAGCGGGACTTCTATAACCAGGACCAATCAGATTACAGGAAAATAATACATTCGGAGAAAGTTAGTAGTCAATCTTAATCAAAATAAACAACATAGATCGATATCAACAAATTACAACCTACAGACCTGACCTTTTGAACCCGTTGAAAAAAAGCCTGTGTTTCCTGAGAGGTCTGTTAGAGTCAATGACGCAGGCAACCGTAAACGTTAGTTTAATTTTTGACTTTAGGTCATGATGTTATTGCAATGTGGAGCAATGGTAGCAATGGTTGCTGGTAGATGACGAAACAACAGCTTCTATCAGACAAATATGTCTCCTGGGAGTTATATGTAAAGTCTCGAACAGAAAAACAAAGTTTGAATAACGTTTGCTATCAAGTTTAAATTTTGTGCTTCAAGTAACTTATTCTTTTATTACGAGCTCCTGATTGGCCCACAACCAACTTTCTTGGAATGTATTGTTATTTTCCTGTAATCTGATTGGTCACCTTTGTCTAAGTGGCCCCGGTTACAATAGTCCCACTGTAAATCAATCAGTTTAGACCTTATCATTAATCCAGGACTCTAGCTCATGAGCATCTCTCAGGAGAGAGTAACGCTGAATGGAGTCCTCCAATTTCTTTTTACGATCCTCTCCTTTGTCCATTAAGTCTTGATACCTGTCACACAAATAAGAAACAGAAAACTAATGAGTAAACATGTCGCAACTGGTTTTCCTTTAACACCTGATGCAGGATTGAGTTTACAAAAGTAATGCTATGAAATGGGTGTTTACTTATCAATTAATCCCTATTGTTTGATCAAGTTTTGAGGATACTTAGCACCAGTTCAGACGCTGTAGTTTACATAAGCCAAATCAAATTCCATTTTAGGCTGACTCAAATTAATTTACGACAGCTGAATTTATTCAGAAGCTGATCTTTAATTCTATGGGAACTAAATGGGGAAAAAAAATGGGCGAATTTTGGTAACCTGCTTTGTAAAAATTTATGCATTTGTTTCAGCTCAAGAAGTTTGATGTCTGAATCAATGTCGTTCCAGAGCCACTACTCCCAGCTGAGCCAGGCATGAGCAATCCGCATTCAATTAGCCGTGTTGAATAGATTCAGATGCTGTAATTCTCATGAACTTAATTCATTGTGTTTGATGTGGCTCAGAGCATGAGAAGTATGGCTTCTGAACCGCGCCTTAGTCACAAAAAGGTTACATCCTAGTGCAAACTGGACAATAAAAAGTAATATGGTACAAGGTAGCAGAAGTGTATTAATCAGCACACACTCACTTTTCATCTAAAGCCTGCTGTCTCTGTGTAACAGAATCAACTTCAGGAGCTTGTGCAAGGATCTCTTGGGAAGCTCTGTGCGAGTCAATCCTCTTGACATATGCTGCAGGAACAAAACCCTGTCTGTCATTTGTCTCCACTTTCCACCAATCCTATGAAATAAATGGGTAAAAGCAAGGATTCAGAAAAATGTTGGTCCTTGTCCATTTTGGTACAGCAACATAATGCACTGCAATATCATTCCTCTTGCAAAGCAATCAACTGGCATACAAGATGACTAAACTGTGTATGTATGACAAACTTGATAGTCATTATTTTGAACTTAAACAAAAAGCATAATGAATTGAAGGTTTCAGTTCAACATGGTGAATAGTTAAGGCCTCTTAAGAGTGCTCTTTTAATTTGATAATTTATTATTTATTAGAATGACCATCAAATTTCCCAGATTTAGAATTTTATACTTAACCACTTGTAGTCTTTTGTAAGATGATCAATGAAAGAAATTGCAAAAAATGTAAAATATGTCAATGTAGCAGCAACCATTTTTCATGCAGATAATATCTGACCTTGTTACTGGAGTTCAGCAGCGTTAAAACATCTCCCTTCTGCATAGATACCTCCCTTGCAGTCTTTTCTTGGTAGTCATACAGTGCAACTACACATTCTTTATCAGAGAGGTCACTGATATGAGCTGACTCCTGAGAAAAGAAATTATAATAGCATAAAACTTCAAACTTTGAAAATAAAACTGGATTTTTGATGGGGGGAGAGGGAGGTTTCGAAATTAGAGCAGAAAATGTGGTCTGTCCCTTCAACAGCTTCAATTTCGAACAATGTCCATCAATGACAGCCAGCCTTCACATCTGCTCTGGTTATTTTGAACTCCATGCTGGGGCCAAACCACCCCTCAAATCAGTCATACAGACTAAATTTATGTATCTTTTACATTTATCTTCATTTCTTGGCCAAACTTTCCAGATAGACTTCAATTGTTGACCAGGTGATTTTAAGTTTTCATTTGATGCCAAATGTCAAATTATGATGACACAAGGGCTGACATCACCAAAATAGGTTAAATGAATTTTTTAATTTCACAGTCAAACTTATATCCGAAAGAGAATTAGAGGAGGAGTAAAATGCTGAAAAACGTTTTTTGCTACGACATATAGAAGCCAAGTTATGAGACTTTAATGATATTTTTGTGCACCCCAGAAACCATACTTTTCCTTAAAAAATAAACCCTTTGATTTATTTTTTACATTTTTTCACAAAATAAGCTTGGGTTATATCCAAGAAATTACAAGAGGTATATCCACCTCAGCTGTCAAACTAGCTGTTATAAAACTAAGACATTAAAAGAAAAACAACTTTTTTCCATCTGAAAAATATCATGGGCATTCTTAAGACACTTGAAAAGGGCAAGTCTATGTCTCAAGAAGCTGAGTTGAATTTGCAATCCAACAGAAAACGTGACCAAAGTACTGACCTTGCAGTTTTGACTTTGTTCTCGTAGTCCATCGATTTCAGTTCCATAAGCTCTCAAGTCTGACATGATGGCAACATGTTTGGTCAACAATGCCTGGAAGAAGAAAACAAAATATAACTGTTAGCAAAACTACAAACAAAAAGAACCAAGACATCATGAATGTAGATGTATTTCATACCTGTGCACTGTCCTCATCTTTGCCATAGTCATCACTGGTGACAATTGGTTCTTTTTCCTTCAGCCATGACTCAGCTTCAGCAACATCAGCAAGGTATTGATGAGCTTGGAGAGAATCATCAAGGTCACTCTTCCTTGCAGCTGCCTTGTCCTAAAACAGCACAATATATTTTTAATATTTTGTCTGCCTTTATGTTCCCCTCCTTCCCCAAATTTTCTTACATGTACACCGAACAACACTTTAAGTGTAGGTACAGTCAAATTTCTCCCTATAGATGGGGATGCCTCCCGACAGGCAAATGCTTTCTCTGTCCCAAAGGTGCCTAAATTCCGACAATCTCTGAACACACCTCTGTGATAAAGGACTTTTCCCTAGCATTGGTATCAATATTAAGACGATTTGACTGTGTTTTCTAAAATGAAGTTCTTTGTCACCAAAGGGAAGTCAGCTTTTTCATCACCTGAAAGAGCTATAAAAGTTGCAATGAAGAGAAAAAGGACCACACCTTAAAGTCAACCCATTTTTGATCAAGATCATCAATCTTCTCTTTAATTTCATCAGAAGCAAAATGTCCTACAGCAAAACAGAAACTGACATTAGCAGTTATGGCACAAAGTAACTCAGAGTGTCATCCATAACATCACTGAACAGATAGGAGAGCACAACAGTAACACAGCACTTTAAGATTACTCAGGCCAAAAGTAAAGGTTTAGAGACTGATGACGTATTGGCTGTAGAAAGAACATGCTGTTTCTAGAACTTTCTTTATTCACAGTGAGCACTCTGAATTACAAAGGAAATGATTCCTTATCAAACAATGATGGAAGCAGCAGCAAGAAGTTGTGAAAATTTCTTTATGTCCAAATAGCAATGTAAACAAATTCAAAGGAATGATAATTTATACAATAATATTAAAAGTTACTGCGCTTTTCACAAATATGCAATCTCTAAAGTTCAAAAGTCGTCTTCAAAATTGCATTTTTTGCTGCTGTTAATAATGATTACTATCACGAGCAACAAACCTTCTTACACAGAAATACACAAAACGGATCGAAATCCACCAATCACAAATCAAAAACCATGACCTTTTAAACCCGTTTAAGCTTTGTTTCCTAAGAGGTCCGTTGAGATGATTGACGGCAGCGAAAAATGCAATCGTTAGTTGGCTTTTAAACTTCAGAATTCTCATATTTGTGAAAAGTGCAGTAATGCCAAGATAACATTTCTCTCTTAGGTTCCCGCGCTATACTCAGTTAATAAACACACTCAAATCGGCTAATGAACAACCAGAATGTTGAACAGAACATGAAGTTTGAATATTAATCATTCTGAACATGCGTTTTCCCTGTAAAAATACTCATTTTCTTAATACCTACCGTTGTCAATCATCTGAACACCATTATCGCATACTGCCCTGATACGAGGCTCATGTCCAGCAATTTCAGTCTGCAAAAGAGAATTGATACAGATTGAATTAAACACAGCACCACAAGGAAAATGCAATGAGACAGCTAAAATCTTTTTAGAAACAATCATAGATGTCGTTTTTGCCCAGATGGCTTTAAAGACTTTCCTCTGTAATAAGCTTAGCAGTTTTTCAATCAATCAATCAATCAATCAATCATTTATTTTAACACGTTACGTCAAAGAGCTAAAAAACTCGTTCAAAATACGAACGTGTAAAAAAAAAAAAAGAGTATCTGTATGTTTGACATACATGTTTCCTTCATTCTTACCATTAATGCCTGATGTTTCTTGGACAAATTCTGAGCTCCTGTCAAATCTCGCCCTAAAAAGTGTGAAAACGAAAACACAAAACATTAGGCACATTTTAATTTCAATCTTACCTCATCTCTTTACAATAATGGGAACAAACTAATTAATAACCCTTTACATGTACCTGTGTTTTTGGATGAAGCAATGGGTTCTTTTTCTCTGATCCAGGCTTCTTCATCTTCAACGTCATGAAGGAATCGTTTTAGTCTTTCAGCATCTGCAAGTCTTGCTTTACGAGCCAGGAGTGGAGCCTGTATTTTTTTTTCAAAAATGTAATCATTAATTACAATCCATAACTATACTACAGGCAGCAAAAAGCATGTTTCCCATCGCTTTGGTCAACTACAGTAGTCTTAAGACCTCACTAGGTAGTCTTTATGAAATATAAATGACCAATTTGAAGGGAAATGTCATCCTAGCTCGGCTTTCAAGATATTTTTAGTGATTTTTCCTATTTTTGTGTTAACTATAAATTTTAATCCAATCTACTATTCTAAGTAGTCTTCTCCAAATTTGCCCATGGATGCTTCCTTTTGGCTTTTCTGTACATTTGTGTCCTCTATAGTTTAAAACAAATGGAGTTATTTGGGATTTCATTTCCTTGTGTGACTGTTGGGTAATGTGAAATTGCCTAAAATAAAGTGACCTGACCCTAGCCAAAATGAGCTCTTCTTGTGCCCTCAGAATACATACTCCTTTAAACAAAACAGTATTTCACAAACACTACTTGTGTATTGTCCTACTTGCAACCTAATGGCTCATTGCATTAAACAAGCTTTAAAGTGTAGACTATAGGATAGCAACCAGCTAAAGTAGAACAACAAAAAGAAAAAAAAACTCACCTGAAGCTGCTGGTATCTGGCATTCAGAACTTCTTTCTTCTCTGCAATAGCTGGAGCATCAAAGTGATCAGCCTCGGCAAAGAGGTCAGCTTGGGCATTAACAACTTCAATTTTCTCCTAACAAATATGAAAAAATAATAGAAATCAAAAGTTAAGCTTTCCAAATTAATGTTATTATAATACGACATGTTTCCTTTTGGCTTCAATCAAAAGTTCCAAAAATGAACAGTTGCTTGTGAAATGAACGGAAACTTTGACATGAAACTTAGACCAGTACACTTCTTTAATAAACTGTTAATGTAAATGAAAATTTTCTTTTTGCTTTACCAGAAAAGACAAGGTAATTTATAAGGAGAATTCAGCAGTATATAAGAAGTTGCTGAGAGTTTTTACAGGCACCCTATTCATTACTCACCGCACGGGCCACAATATCAGCTTCAATCATTCCATGCTTCTTTTGAAGATTCTGGACACTTGTCAGATCCTAGAAACATAAAAATAGAGGTAACATTATCAATGATGAGCAAGGGAGTAAACCACTTTCTTTTTTACAGATAGTATATACTAAGGCTTGATGCCGAAGGGTATGACAAGACTACATAATGTAGTTTAGGAGGAATAAACTTCCCAAAAATCCACAGTCTCTTTGAAAGGTCAGTTTGAAAATAACTTTTTTGTCTAGGCTAAAAAACTGCTTAAACATGAGTGGGTTCAAGTGACAGTCTGTAACAAACCTTTCCAAGGTCTTCAACAGCAAGAAGATTTTCAACTTCTGAAAACCAAAGCTCAACATCTTCAGCAGCCCTGAGAAAAAAACAAGGATGTCAGTTGATTTAGTTGTCGAGAAATGCAAACAACCACAAAAAAATATTTTGTTAAAGTTTGAAGATGAAGGGGTTTCAAATCATTCCTCTCTTGGTTATGTAAATGAGCAAGTGATGTAGAATAATAAAGATAGAACAAAGGAAGTGAAAATGTAACCTCAGAAAACTGCTGACATTTCATGATGCCACCACTGGTTTCCCCGTGAAATGATGTCTGAGAAATGAGCGCAGACATTCCATACTGATGACGCACTGTGATGTGACACTTACCAGATCTGGGTAGTGACATTTTGGGGGGAAACCGGCAGTGACATCGCGAAATGTCAGCAGTTTTCTCAGGATTATGGTCATTTGCTATTAACAATTCCAGACCAACCAGAAACCAGCGATTCTTAGAAAACATGGTATAAATGTTAAGTACTGACCGGTTAAATTGTTGCTGCTGTGCGGCTTCCTTTAACTTATTGCCTGAATAGAAAATAATAGTAAAATAAGGAGGGCCATCATGAAATAAATATTTGAATTTAATTTAGTCTTGCAGGTTGATGCACTCGTGCTGACAGAAGTGTTGTTGACATGACACTGTTGATTTGTTCACCTGATTAACTACATGTATACACCAAAGACTAATACTCTTCCTTAATTTGCATTTTTGTACTCTACCTGAATGTAGTAAAACATTTGCCCAAATTTGCTACTCACTTTCTGTCTTACCAGCCATAAGTGCTACCTTATTGAACAAAGTATGTCAACAATTTGCAGATATAGTTATGCAGGAAAACGTTTTACAGCAAAAGTAAAATAATGTGAACACACTGAACACACTTTCCAACGTGTGGATGATCGAATGCTTTGTAGGCTACTGCTGTTTTTCTGTACAGCACATCATTTAAAGAGGAATTTTTTCCGAAAGTTGACTTTGGTTACTCTAAGGAGTTATTTACAGGTCGCTGGTAATCTAACCTTTATCGTTTGACCTCTCAAACAGGTAGGCCCATAACTTATGCAGTTCATCAAGTCTCTCCCTGATTTGATCAGAAGCATAATGTTCATCTGCAATCAGCTGTTCCCCAGTCTTGTCAACTGCATCAAGTCTACTCTGATTGACATTCAGTTCAGCTTCAAATGCTTGATGCTTTTGCAGTTTTCCTTGCAGATTTGTTGGATCCTGAAAGACATGATTATAGTGAATAAAAGGCACCTTCCAGAAATCATCTAGAACTTAAATAATTTTTTTTTACTCTGTAATTTATAATTATTTATTGATATAAGTTATTTTTAATGGACTCCACTCTGCAGTTCACATCAAAGGCCAGCATCAAAATATGCCATTTGGTCAATTTTTTGTATACTTGTGTAGGTGTAGCAGTGTGCAGCGACTACATATAGTGAGTTTGGTCTTAAGACATGCCCATATCGTATATGTACTTTGATTTTATTAAGCAGACAGTTTATGCAAAATATTATTTGCAGTTTAAGTATAGTTTAGAGGCAGTAGATGCAAGGATAATTTAGTCCAAAGTTACCTTATAAGATTCATCACAAGCAGTCTTCAGTTTTTCATTAATCCAGCTTTTCACCTCATCAGCATCCCTCTCAAACTGCTGAAGCTTACGAGACTCCTCAAGTTTTGCCCTACGAGCCTTTGACAACTCCTCTATATTCTGACGCCTCTCCAGAATACCATCACGCTTCTCACGCACCTCATCTGATGCATAATGGTTACTATCAATAAGGCGGTTTGCATACTCATCAATGCTCTGAAAAATTCAAAACAACAGGACTACATCATTTTGTTCCTAGACCACAGTGAACCCAGATGTAATGAAACCTTGGTGACATGTAATGAATGACACTTTTACAACCTAACTTCAGTTGTACCTCAGTATAACAAACCTCTAAATAACAAAGTCCTCAGTCGAAAGAACTATTTTCTTTACCCCAGTAACAGTAAAATTATGAAAAAGAACCTCATATGATGAAACCTCGTCATAGCGAACAAATTTTTCTCAGTCCCTTTGCCCCTCGTTATATTGAGGTTCCACTCCCGAGTAAGAAAGCATGGAAAAGGACCCTACCAATGATTTCTTCTCTAAAGCATAACACACGATGAACTCACATTGAAACTTTTCCAGGACAATTTACCACAACAACAGACTCGTAAGCTCTATTCACAGTTAACCCAGGATTATAGCTTACTTAACAATCATGGTTGCATTGTAAATAAAAAAATTAAAATTATTTTTGTTCACAGAAATGCTTATACACTGTTTAATCAGGCCAAGGGAAACTGAGAATTATTTGAATGATTGTACTTACATTGACTTTCTCAGCTTGGGCAGCAAATGATTTGTCAAAGTCTTCATGCTTCCTGATCAAAGCTTCCACTCCATCAAGGGAATCCCCCAAGTTGTCATCAGCTAGGAAAGCCTTAGAAGAGAAACAATTCAATGATCGCTATTACTCAATTCACTTCCATTCCATGCATTACCTTTTGCTAATAAATTCTTAAATGTAAACTTCTTACCTGGAATACACCTCTTTTATGAATTGAGTGTGCTGTGTTAGGATAGTATTATAATGGTGTGTGCAACTACTTTTGTAAACATTTCACATGTTCTTACCTCTTGTTTAGTCATGGTGGCATTAGCATGTTCACAGTCACGGTTGAAAAGCTGCAGTTCCATACACTGTTCAAACTGTACACGTCGTTTTTCCCACAGCTCCAGCAATTCTAACTTCTCTGATTCAAGGCTTGTAAGCTAAAAAAAATAAACAAATAAAATAGAATTGACTTTTTTATCAACCTTCACTAAAGCACTTTGCCAGGACATAAAGATTCAAAAGCTCCAAACAGAGTGTACATGTACATAGAGCTTTCTAAGTACAAGTTCCTTTATCCACTGAAAAAAAACGCCTCTCCTGGGATCACAAGGCTATAAAAATTATTAAGATTTTTCTGTGGTTTAATAATAATAATAATAATAATAATTAATTAATTAATTAATTAATTAATTATTTCTATAGCGCTATTTACACATACTTAAGCAATAGAAAACGTTTTCCGTGATTGCATAGCCTCATATAAACACGAGAGGGTTTGGGAGAATTCGAGACAGTTATGCAAACCTGAGACGAAGTTGAGGGTTTGCATAACTGTCGAGAATTCTCCCAACGCCTCGAGTGTTTATATCAGGCTATGCAAACACAGGAAAAAAGTTTTCTATTGCTTTTATAAAATAACTTTCCCGAGAAAAAAACGCTTTCCCGAGAAAAAAATGCAAAACTCTTTGTATGGCACTGATTAAAAGAGAAATTCTTACCAGTCGCAAAATCTTGTCCACAAAGTCTTGCACGCGTAATCAGTTCTTGTTTTGGAAAAAGATGCTTTGAAAAATACGGATTTTTCTCGCTTAAAATGTCAGCTTAAGCGAAGAAAAATTGACCCACCTTCTTTGTAACGATTTTCCATGTTTCAGCCGACGAAGGAATGGGTAAATAAAGTAAACTTGTCGAGTTTTGAACTTGAAAACTTTTCAAATTCGTGCTTGTGCAATTAGCGCACGAAAAGCCAAACAACTTGATGCCACAACCACGTTTACATACTCTCATGCAAACACTCCTCTCGGCCAATCAGAGCGTGCGTACTATCTTAGTTATATTAAAATAGTTAAGTGTAAAACTGATTAAAAAAAACCAAACGCCTAATAATATAGTAACTCATATGTATCTATACTAGTATCAAAATAGAAATTCACTTCTAAAATATTGTCTTAAAAGGAATGTCTTAATTGCATTCTTAAAAGTTTCTACAGACTGTACTATGGGCAGTTGTAAAGGAAGGTCATTCGATAAATGTGGCACTGCTGCCCTAAATGCACATAAGGTTTCTTCACATTTGAAGCAGAAATATTTTTAAGACACTGATTGCAATGCAAAAATAACTTGAACCTGTAGTATTTTCACATACATGCACAGAATAACAAGGAATAAGTACTTAATTCTGATTCCTTTACCTTGTCTTTAATCTCATCACTGGCATAATGATTGGAATTGAGGAGTTCTTCTCCATCATCTGCAAACTTCTTGAATCCATCTTCCTGAGCATCAATGTAACCCTAATGGCAGAGGATGGAGAAGCAGTGAATTCACGATACCACTGGCTTACCAGAAAGAAGGCACTTTTAGCACTCAAGCAGAGATGGTATGCGATGCATAAGCAACATTAAGCTGAGGAATTGACCTGCTCCCAACGTCAGTGGCATCAGTAGCTCAGTTGGTAGAGCATCACACCGGTATTGCGAGGTCATGGGTTCAAACCCCGTTGAAGTCCTGAATTTTTTTTCAGGCTTCTTTACACAGTTGCATAAATTGCGTTCACTGCGATGATCATTTCTTCATCTTCATTTAGCTATCCACAACTATTTGAAAAGAAATTTGTCATCATAATAGTAATAACACGGACATGTGGCTACAAGAACTTGACAGGAAGATGGTCCCTTAAAGTTTTGTTCTTAACTTCACTGATTATTTTGAACACGGTAGATTTCTGATTGCCTCTTTAAGGAAGAACTGGATGTAATATCACACAACAACAGGGAGATTAAGCAAAGATGTGACGCTTGTCAACAGGAAGTAGACTTTTTGCATTCTTGGGCAGTGGTATTGCCCAATTTTTCGGGCAATAAATAGTCTCTATAAGAATTAAGACACCTAGCAATACAAATCTGGTAACATAAAGGCATATTAAAAGGGAAAAAGCACCACTTTTGGTTGACATGCGTTGCTCAAAAACATCATTGCTTAAGCTCCCTAATATTTCCTCTATCACATCATGGAGGAATTGGGTTTTAGGGAAAATTCACCTTGTGTTCTTGATGTCTCTCCAAAAGACTTTCTGCACTTGCAACATCTTTGGCCAGCTCATCACTTTGGATCAAAACTTTCATTTCATTTATAAATGAGATATGGTCCCTGATATGATAAACAGAGAATAACTTAATTGCAGCAACAATGAATGATTGGTGTTGTGTCAAAGTGGCTAACAAAGACTGCACCAATTTGAAATACATGTATAAACAAACATTGTATTGGATAAAACATGGTCTTTTGTGTTTGATAATTGCAAGATGTAACACTGCAAGTGCAATTCTGTGAAACAACGAGAAGGATTTTGCCACTTTACCTGTAGTCACCAATGAATCTTTGAAGCCGGTAGGAGTCTTCAAGCCTTGTCTTTCTCACTGCAGACTAAAACAAAAAAAGGGTTTTTAGTTGTTAAAATTACTAATCACAAAATGTTTAGAACATCCTTTCCAAATGGATCAAAACTTCTCCAATAAGATACCTTGTCCTTGAGATTTCCCCAGGCAGTCACAATCTCATCTTGTTTGGCCGCAATATCATCGGCACTATCAGGGTAGGCTTCCTGTAACTGAACTGATTCTTGACCAAGAGCTGTCACCTGAAAGGAACCGAAATATATATTTTTTATTATTTTACTTTTAGCACGCAAGGTGAAGGATGAACATAATAAAAGCTTCAAAACCTCTTCTCTCCAAAACCATGGCGTGGAAGATTGACACTCTAACTTTTAAATCTGTAAACAGAATCCTGAAGTGTTACCATTCAAATGAAACAGCATCGGAAGACCCTTTGCAAAGTAAACGTAATATTCATTTCCTGGGATTTTTAAAAAGAAAATTTGGAATTGAAATTTGTTTCTTGGAGCACTAGAGCGAACAGTGAACTTTGCAAAAGTGAGAAAGGTCCTGGTGAACATTATTTTTAACATCTTCTCTTCAAAACATTACCTTGTCTTCCACAGCAGCTAAATCCCTTTCCAAAGCCTCATGTTTCCGTAGCAAAGCATTAACACTGGCAAGATCCTTTCCATAGTCATCAGACGACAGCACTTTATCTTTTTCATTGATCCAGTTCTTGGTTTCATCAGCATCTCTGATAAAAATTCATTTCCTTTAATGTTAGAAATCAAATCCCCACACAACCAAGAAAAAATGGGATTAAAACTGTTGATTATTATTTGTATTGTCATTATTGATCTTCCAATGACAGTCCACACTTTTGTACAATCACAAACTCACCATAAATTGAGAACAAAAACAGGTCTATATACACAGTGTAGATGAATTTGTTTCGAAAACTGATAGCAGAACACCAATTTATTAAAAGTTGATTTTGATAACCGGACAAGGATTTGTAAACTAATGTATTATTCTGCAAATTTAAACCAACAACAAGGACAACAGCATGTCTGAGAGATTAAAGAATCTGTCTTGGGCAAAGACCACTAAACGAACCAATTTCTCAATCATGCTCAGCCTCAACTTCTCAGCCATGCTTATAAACACAAGGCTACAACCTTCCACTTCCAGTCTTTAATCAAGCTTTGTTCCATTTTGACAATTTGTTTGAAATTACTTGGGTGAAATGCCTGTATATTAGCTAGAGCTAGCTTGACGATCCCGTGCATAATGTCATTACCGATAGAAGCTGTGAATCTGCTGAGCTCCTGCCAGCCTTTTCTGACGTTTCAGTGCCAGCATCTTCAACCTCTCCCATGCTTCATTCACTTCCTGTAAAATACAGTTTGTAAAAATAATAGTTTAATACTTTCAAACTAATAACAGGAAATCATCAAAGATTAGAGAGTGCTGTCAAGAAGGTCAAAATCCTATTGCAAATAACTCTCACAATTTTGGCCAAACATCATAAAAGATGCCAAAACTGCAACACAAAAACTGTAGCAGATGTCATTTCTAACTTAGCATCCTATGCAGTACAAATTCACAAAGTTTAAAGGTGCGATAAGAAGCCCTAAGGGGCACAATCACAAAATAATAATTCCTTACCGTTTGCTTGGTGCTTATAAGTTCAATGTCAGGATGCCCCTCATCACCAAGTTGATGTGCAAGATCATTGATGTATGTCACTCGGGATTCATTAGCTTGGATGTCCTTCATAAAGTCTTCAAATTTCTTTTGTAAGACTTCAACATGCTCCAAGTCTCGTCCTAATTCCTCTGAAGTGGCAATTGCTTCCTAAGAAGGAAAAAAACAGAGAATTTTGGTTAAACAGCAAAAAAAATCACAGTTAAACCTCGTGAAATCTAAAGCATGGTGTGTGTACTTGTAGGCAAACACCCACTTCCCTTTTTTACTCAATTTGATTAAAGTAACTAAGAGTTGAGAGGTCTTTACTTTTGTTTCATTTCACAAAAAAGAAAATAAAGTGCAAAACAAAAGAAACACACAAAAAGTAGATGCATGCTTCTCTACTGAAGTTTACACCGACAAACCTCTAATGAACTTAAACATTACATAGCACAATCTACCGAATAAACCACTATCCAATTTGATAAGAGTTAGGGGAACCAACTAAATTAATGCAATTGATGCTTGCATGTATTTCTCCACTGGATAGCACTATCCACATTTTGAACCAGGTAGTAAGTGGTTTCACTTAGAAAAGAGGATAAAACATTCAACTCTGCCATCATGGTTGCACTTGACAACCAACTTTGACCTGTTGTACATGGAGGTACATCTTAAAGCCAATGTTTCCTTTATTAGCAGGAACTTATAGTTTAAGACATGCATTTATTTTCCTTAAACATTATTGTCTTACCTTTTCCAGAATCCATGACATGACTTCTTCTGTTTCGTTAAGGAAGTGAACTCTCTTTTGTGCAAACAGAAGCATACGGCCCTTCTCTGCTGATTTAGAAAGTAACAGTTCCCAAAGCTTAAGAAGGGAGTCAAGCCTCTCCTGTGGATAAATTCAATATTAAGGATTGCATTAGCATCATCACAAGCTTAAGGGTTTACCGGTACCATCATCATCCTTTCATATTGCTTGTGTACACTGGATCACCACTGGTCAGAACATTATGGCAGAATATAAAGCAGTAACATGCTGAAAGGAAAAAGTAACCTATGCCATGTACACTGTACACTGTAATCATGAAAAACACTTTGTTGCAGGGACAAAATCCTGTTTCCATGATATACATGTACACTGTAAACCATAAAACTTGTCAGTTTTGAATTGGTGAGGGTAAAAAATGAACAAGATTTTCAAAGTAGCAACAGTGCTCCATGGTGTGTCCCAGTTTTAAGAATGTGTTTACTTAAGTATAGTTACATGAAAATTGTCTTGTCTAGCTATAAAAAAAGGTTTGTTTTATTGCTCACCAAGAAAGCTGGATCAGGGTCATTTTACTGATAGTTAAATTTGTGTGTAACCTGTATGATTCAACCAGGGCAGTCATATTTGTCTTACATGTAGTGATTTGAAACTACAGTGCTACTCACCCTAATAAGTTCAGAGGCATAATGAGACTCACTGATCATTCCTTCTCCATTTTCCTGTAGCTCAACAATGGCATTGCTATGAGCCGAAATCTCAGCTTCAAATGCCTGATGCTTTTGAAGTTTACCCTGAAATAAAAATAATTCTATGTAAGGTGTAGAACTGTTGATATTAAAGAGGTACTGTAAATTCATAAGGTATGATCTAAGATCCCTGAAAAAAGTTCGGCAATAGTAGAAGCATAATGTAAACAACTCCTAAATGACTGTAGTGATCACATTGATCACTAAGATATTATTTTCATTTTTAGGAAGGTTACCACATACTGTACCATCAATTGTTACATTACTTATTCAGTAACCATAGCAACCATGCTGAACCTAAAGTTATGAGAGGTTTGTTAATGGACTGAGGGGAATAGATAGTCAACTCGAGCACACAAAGTCATTACATTTCCCCTACTTTGCATTTGTTATTGGAGAGGTTAAGCATCACATTTACGTTAAATAGTAAATGCGAATTGTACCACGTGACCAAACTTCTATTTACCTATCATTAAATTTTACTGTTCATTATTTCTATGCATAAATTAGTAGTTTCACACAATTTTCTATCCTTAAGAATTGTTTTGAGCTGTTTTTTATCTGCTCGTTTTCTATGAATGAGAAATTCTCGATGTAAATCAGATGTTTGCCGTTGGCTGTATAACGTGAAGCTTAAACTCTCTATTATAGATGGGAGCACCTGGGTATGAATCACTACAGCTCAGCCTTGTGTCCATGCACCAAGTATAGCATGCAGAGGAGCATCAAGCAGTGAGAAGTTAGTTACAGAAAATTATTCATTCAAGCTATCCTCTAATATGGATATTGTCAGTGACACAGTTTTTATGACTGCATTCTCGGTTTGCAACCACATGACAAGGCGGCCATGTTGGAGTCAAAACAATAGAATTTTAATTTACATGAAAATAGAGTTGACGTCACGCGCAAACAAGCAATTGACAGGCAATTTTTATAAAGTTTGCATATGAAAAGCCCCCCCGGGAAATTAAAATTCGGATTGTGGATGCCTTGTAAGGTCTTGTAATGTGACCACCAAATTATGAGATCAACATCATGCTCCTTTCCTGCATTCATGACTTTTCAACTAAACTGAGAAATCAACAGAAAAACGTGGAAATTTAAAAAAAAACCTTTTTATGCTAAAGAAGAATACACTCGACTCCGGTGACGCGATTAATTAAGCAGCCAAACTGGTTGATTTCTGTTTGCGCTCGATGCTGAACCAAATCACACGTGGAAAAACATTTTTGAGACATATTTGGGATGGCTGGTTTAAGCAGTTTCATGTCAACAAGTTAGCTAAACTATAAACTGACGCAAGCTATTAGTTTTACACAAAAAAGATTCCAAAACATGCCTCGTCCGCAAAACTCGCGAGACGGACGCGGGCCAGCTCTTTCCATGATAAACACGCAATACTTATTTGATCTCAAGTCTGTCCTGATTAATGATCGACTCTTTTTTTAAGGAAAGCGTTTATCAGAGATAAAAGTTGCATAAAACGAAATTGCCCGAAATACAGGTTTAATGCATTCGATAATACTAGAGGTCACTAGAGCTATGCTAGATCAAAGTCGGGGCGTTGTCGAAGGCGAAGCAAGCTCCATTCAGCCACAAATTTATCCGTAATTCGCATGCGAGAGGTTTGCTTTTAATGGCGGAAAGTTACCTGCAGGTTTGTTGGATCTTTATAGTTCTCATCGCAGGCAATTTGAAGCTTCTCGTTGATCCATGCTTCCACTTCATCGGCATCTCGCTTGAACTGATGATAGCGCTTGGCGTCCTCCAAGCGTTGGCGCCGAAGACGGGTTGCTTCCTTGAACTCGGCATAACGCCGCAAAACCTGCTCACGACGATTTTGAATATCTTCAACGGTTTCTAGAATGGCTATCTGACGAGCCTCCACCTCTGCCATTTTGGAAAATTCAACCTTTCAAAGACAAAACTCACAAACGAAGGATTGTCTGAAAGAAATCGCCCTGCATTATTATGAAGAGCATAGGTCACGTGGTCCTTGCGAGACAAAAAAGCCTCTTGGGAGGTGGGCTCCTGATAATCTAAATAAATTACGGATCATTGCAACTCAAGTTACAGTAAATGTTATTCCACTTCCACCATCTTTGAATTATTAAATTCGAATAGAAATTCTAAGGACCTACTGTGCTTGTATTCAGAAATTATTCAGGATTGAAAAGCATTCTACTCCCTCCTCCCTCTTTAACATTTACGCCAGACACCGACCTAGCCTCTAGTTCGCGTGCGCCTGTGTGGCCCCCGGCGAAGGCGAAACAAAATGGCCGCCGCCACTCAATTTAAGAATTTCCTGTATGCTTTCTGTGGAAAGCGTAAAACTAGACCTATTTACACGGAAAGATCCTCTGCTTCAGGCTTTAGCTTCCAGGTAAAACGGAGTATATTCAACAAAACCTATTTAACACGGAATAAAAGTGAAAAGTTTTCACAAATTTTAGCTTTTAAATGCAGCTCTAGCCGTTATATTTACTTTAAACAAGATTAGATTATTCGCTCTTGCTTCAAATCAATTGTGATTATGAAGCTCTCGAACGTTTTCTTAGGTGCAGATAGAAGGCTTTGATTACGTGGGTCTTGGAAGTGCCAACAACAAGAAAGATGCTGAAACTAATGCAGCCAAAGATTTCTGTGGATTTTTGATTGGAGCTGGAATCATTCCTCCAGACTCTTTTCCTGATGATCTATTTGTAAGTAGATAAAGGCTGTGTCCACAGGGCCAATTAATCAAACAAATTTCTGCATTTAGAGTTTTTCTGTACGTGAAAACCATATTTTCACAGACTTAAAAGGCTCATCAAGGGATTTTTGATGATGATTTACAATCATTCACGTACAGACAAAGACCATAAAAATGCACAAGTTTGAGTGTTTTTACAAACTGAATGGACTCTTGTGGATACACAGATGTACACAGATGTAGCTTAAAAGCAGGCAAATGCTTATTTATCATGAAAATTGCAGAATTCACATGATCAGCTGGATTATATAGTTGAATGACTCTGCAAACAACAGCCCTTCCTTGGGGAACAATTCTTATAATATGAAAGGAATTTTATGTTTGCGTTTGAGGATGTCCACTTTAAATGTTTAACATTCAACAGCATGGTCCTCAACCAAATATCTTCTTGTATGTATAAGCTAGTCACCGATTCAAGTGAAGTTATGTGTTGTTGGAAAATGCTTAATCGTGTCATTTTCACTTCAAAATTATTTCAACAGGGAGAAGGTCCAACTGTACCAGCCACAGGTCAACCAGCTCAACAACCTCAAAAACAACAGCTTCCTTCATCAGTTGCACCAGCACCTCATTCTCATCAGTTCACGCCAAACCAACAGTCTTCACAACCACCACCATCACTGATGGGCATGCAACAAGGTATGCAGACATTGCACATTTGCTGCCTGGTTAATTAGCTCAATCAGTTGGGTACCAGACTTTCTGGGTTTTGATTCCTGGCCAGGGGCTAACTTTTCGGGGGTAACTTTTCGGGCCCAAAATCAAATATTCAAATCGAAATATAAAGAGCCCAGGTCCTGGCAAGTAAACTACTCCATTTTGTTTCATTAACTGATAGTTTTATCACGTTAGGTACAAAACTATTGAAACCTCGATCTTAAATGTAAACGGAGACAGCTTACTGGGCTCATTAATTATCGGGACTTTCGAGAAACATGTCCCGATAAGGTTGAAAAACCACAAGTCTTGTATCACGGCACACCCACTGAACTGAATCTTGACGATAGGAGAAGACTCTTACAGGTTGCAGGGCTGGCCATCACTAAGATTTTAGTTTCTGGGTATATGTAATAAGTAGGGAGGGATTTGAAAAACTAGTAATCTTTTTTGGTTCAATTTGCCCTTTTGTTTCTTGTGTGAGTAGTCACATGTCTTATCAGGGCCTCAAATTAACTTTTTGATACAGGCATCCTTAAAAAGATACAAAAATACTGAGTCATGTTAACCTACAACTCTCACAGAAATTGCAGTTGCCCAATCGGGCAACTAGGATCCTAAACTTAGTTGCATAGATGAAATTTTTAGTTGCCCTAGCAAGCAGCCAGCCGTTAATGTCGAGCTCTATCACTCTGTGCCTTGATTTAGTTGCACCATTTATTTGCGCACAGGTGGTGGTGGTATTAGTCAGATGGGACAGCAAGGCTGGAGTGGTGCTGGTCAAAGAGACTACCATTACAGTTTGCACAATAAAAGGAAGTTTGAAGAGGTATGAAAGGCCCATTACACATCTACAGCATTGTATGTTTATTGAGTTTTATACCAAAGAAAGCACAAAGATTATCTCAAGAGATAAAAAATGCATTAACTACTGCAAACTTTGATAATTGTGAAGAACAACTCCCAACAACCAGCATGCCAGTCAGCCAACAATTAACCAACACTTGATCAACAGTTGGCAGGCAGTCAAGTGGAAGTGTACCAAGCTCACTCACTACAAACTTCACCATCTGTCAGCCAAATATTGATGGACAGTCAGCCAACAGATGAACGCTCTGACAATTTGCGGCTTCCATGATTTATTTTACTATTTTGTACAATTAATCTTGGTCAAACTACATAAAAATTATGTTATTATGTACGTTTATCAATCATTGTTAAAATGTGCCATGAATGTGATGTGGTGACTTTTTCTTTGACAAAAGTTACTATTAAAGAATTATATTTCACAGAAAACAAAAATTTAAAGTCTTGATTTTAGGGCAGTTTCGGTACTCACGTTCACATCACACTCTTTTTTCCTTAGAACCTTCTACATTGTCTTTGTGTTGGTTCTTTACTACACATTTATTCTTCAGGAATTTTCAGCGCTTTTAATTCTGTTCTATCTGTGGTATTAGGCTGAGGATGTTGACCTGAATGCTCATCTCCATGGTAACTGGACATTAGCAAATGCCAAGTCTCGTCTCCATCAATATCTACAGCAAAACAGACTTCCTGCTGATTTCAAATACTCTGCTGGTGGCCCAGATCACAACAGGTATTGAACTACTGGCTTGGAACAGTTAACACATGGGTTTCTTGAGATAGGAATGAATATTTTATTTAAAAATAATGAATCTTATGTGTAAAAATGTGCTTATTTATTTTTATAGGCCATTTGCACGATAGCGTCATTTTACTACTACGAGAATCCTTCAAGGTTTTGCTTTCTTGTGCAATAAGAGCTTTTGTTATTGAAACCTCACTGGACCACATTTATGAGCAGATGTCTGTACTGGACTTGTAATTGGGGGGCCTGAGTTCAAGTCCAGCCCTGACTGCTAGCTGGATTGGTTCTCGGTAGTCCCGAGTTCAAATCCTCGGCAGCACTTGTAAAATAGCCAACTGGTTCACCTTCTACCAGTTGGGATTCTTAACTTTGTTATGTTCCATTTGAATTATTTGTTTTATTATTTCTGAAAAAACCCATAAAGAAAGAGGATAATATATTATTATTGAGGTAGGCAGAGGAAAACAAAAGTAATTTACTCATACAGGGCTCAGATGAATGTGTCTCCACAGTACCAGAACATTTTCAAATAAGTTTATACTTATTCGTCAGGTGTAGGACAATTGAGTAATATATGCACAGTCGACATGATCTTGTGTTCACAAAGCATGATCAATCATTTTACATGTCAATAACATTAAAAACAATTTTGTTAGTTAACCTCCACTGTGAATCCCAGAATTAAAATAATCTCCCAAACAGTTTTGCTTGCAGCTTACAAATATTCATTCTTCTGCAGATGTATTTTAGTCATAGTTGAAGTTCATACATTTTTTATTTGGAAAACCACATGTTTTTTTTAGTCATCTAACTTTCCTTCTGTGGTTCTTTGGTAGGCACTTTGTTGCAGAGTTGTCAATATTTGTGAAATCTCACAGACGAAGTAAGTACATGTTTACTCTTCGTATAATGTAAGTTAGCAATGAACATCTCAAGAATTAGGTCAGGAAGTATTTTTTTCCCAATAATTACAATTAAAAATCTTGATAAATAGTCATTCATTGTATCATATGCAAAAATCATATGATCTTATAAAGCTGGTGCACAGTATAGATAATATTAAACCCAGCTCATATAGCAGTTTGGCTCATCTAAGTGTCATATTTTTTTCATTCACTCTTTTTCATGAAGTCAACGCATTTTCTAGGAAATAGCCATGGACATGATTGCGCACAAACATGCCAAAAAAAACGTCTCTTTTTATGGTGAACTTTCCAAAGACTTCGGAATTGAACCCTCCTGTAACCTTTTATCCTGCAAGGTCAATGCACAATGTATTCTCCACACTGCACTCCATGTATTTTTAAATTTGTCATGGTATTGTGATGAGAAGAATCTGCTCTGTTCTATTCCTAAAACCTGTATATTAATTTAATTATCATGTAGTGATAAGAGAAGAAGCTAGATTTGTCATTGTTTATGTCTTCAAGGGTCAATAGAATAATTTCTTCTAACAGTACTCCTCTTTTTATTTTTTTTTCTTAGCCATTAGTGCTCGTGAACATGCTTCCACTAAAAAACAAGCTGCACAGAATACTTCTCTCAGTCTTGTTAGACAGTTATTTCATATGGGAGCCTTGGAGGCTGCTGAACCAGGACAGGTTCAACCAAAGAAAAAGAAGGCTGATGAGGTAAAAGTCAGCAATAAAATCTGGACCCTTGTTGGCTGGTTTTTGCCTTTTAGTGATGCAGTTTTGGTGACTGATCAGTTGCAGGTTAATTTGTTCCCCAGGCATTTAGAGAATTTTGTCCTTTTTGAATTTGCTACTTCCTCATTATGGTGGTGGAATTAAAGGGTAGAAAGAAATCCCTGGTTCTTAGCAGAATAAGTGTGTAAAACAAGCTGATTTATAATGGTGGTATTTATGGCAGTGATGATGATGACGACCTCTGCATAACTGACTGGCTGTGAGAAAAGTGTTGTCAGATACTGTAGCTCTGTTCTTGTAAGAAGTGATCCATCAGGCTGGGTGATTTTTTCATTGCAAGTTGCCAGATTGGCAAACCATGTTTGGTACCCTTTTATTAGAAAGGAATTATTTTTTAAATTCAGGAAATAGCTTGTTAGAGCTCCAGTTGCCTTTAAACTGAACCAACATTTTGCTTCTCTGTTAAGCTTATTTCTTATTATCACCCCACCCTGACAGATGTAAACATTTAATAGTCAGTTTTGTTTTTTAGATTGAACCCTATGATGTTGGAATCAGCCCGGAAATGGAGCAGCAACTTGGTGACCTCCTTCAAGCTCTTCAAATCCAGCCTGTCCCTCAGGTATGGAAAATAAGGAAAAAAATTTATGTAGGTCTGCTTATAATGTACATTGCATTTGACCAAGTTTTTGCTTCCAGATGAGTGTCCACCTACTGATTTGTAAAATCCATTCTCATGATTATCCACTGACTTTGATTCAGAATTTCTTTTGTTTCCTTGCCCAAATTATTCATAGGAGACTGGGGAAATTCTGGTTTTACCTTATCTAGAACAGAATTTATGTACAACATGTACTCATCGGTAAAATTCTTTCTTGGCATTAAATAGTTTGATATTTCACCAGCAGGGAGCATTGAGGAGTGTGAACTCTCTAGTTTTCTTTCTAGAGAGAATTCATTCCAACAGTTTGATGACAAGCTTGCAGTGCTCTCAGTCAAACCAACAACCCTGAGACATCTGTAAGGGTTTCAGCTGTCTCTGGCTTGGCTCTGTTTTATCAATACAAATTTATGGTCAGACCTTTTGGTCATGCACCGGGGACATTCTTGTGCCAGAGAGGCTTGAGCTTGTCTCACTGTTTACTGAAAAGCTTAAGTGAAGTTTCTTTATTTTCTTCATTCATGAGCTATGAAGAGAGGCAAGGCTGCATCCTGGAAGTGACTAAAGAATTAATTTTATTTCTGTAATGACAGTACCATCAAGGGCAAAATAAAAACACTCATAATAGCTGATCTTTTTGTAAACTGATCAGACTTAAATTGGATTTGATCATGGATCAGATTCTACATAATGTATTAAACTTTCAAAAACATGATTTGTTTAAAGTTTTTGTAGTTTATTGGAGACCAAAGGAAAAAAAAGAGGTCAACACATAATTATTATCAATTTGAGAACTGTTTGCTGTAATGATTTTGTCCAGCTTAGCTGGAAGTGTTACATAAAAATTATATAAAATTGCTGGTAAAAGGAATAGTGACCTTTTTATCCATGGTTGTACTGTCTGGTTGAGAACAGTGTCAGACATAAATGACTAAATAAGTTCTTTTACAGTAGATGGTCACTGAAATATTATGCATCAATAGCACAGTGAAATATCTCCTTATGATCACCTAAGGAAGTACTGGTGACACCTCTTTTCTATAGATAGTGCTTTTACACTCCAAGCATCATACTATCCCTCAGTAGATGGTCACTGAAATATTATGCATCAATAGCACAGTGAAATATCTCCTTATGATCACCTAAGGAAGTACTGGTGACACCTCTTTTCTATAGATAGTGCTTTTACACTCCAAGCATCATACTATCCCTACATTTACTACACAGACACTTGTTTCATGCAGTTTCTGAGGTGTGTGCCTTCTGTATCCTGTTGGGAGGTTTGACTGTGCTATTTACCTTGACAAGGCCATATGACCATCAACTGTAAAAAGCCTACTGAAATTTCAAATCTCCATTCTTTGGAATCTGCATTATCAGGAGTAATAAAAACATTAAAATTTAATCAGAAATCTTTAAGAGCAGCTCCCCATAATTATCAAATAGACGTGGAAATAGTCAAAAAACGACCTGGCCACAAACTCAGCCAGAATAAAGCTCTACAGGCTCTAATAACAAAATAGTTTATTTAAGTCTGCTTGGTTCAACTTCAACTTAGCTACATTTTGATCACTTGTTATTGCCGAGATAGACATACTGGTAGTGGCAGGTTGAAGGAAAAGAGCAGATCTTCAGATCTTTAAACTTCAGAACTAAAGTTAAAACCAAAAACTGACCACTCACAGAACAAGAAATGACTCAGCCATTTACTTTTGTCATCAGTATGCACCTTTTCAATTTAAGTTTTCATTCAGTCACCTGACTGTACCTGTTGCCTAATGACATCATGACTGCATGTGTCTGCATAATGCACTTTCCAAACCTTGTAGGGTCAGCTTGCATAATGTGCATTTGAGGGCTTTACATTTTTGATAGACTAGTAGCCTTTAAATGCACATTTTGCAGATCAAATGGTTACAACAAAATGTGTCTGACACTGTTCTTGTTTTAGACAGGATTTGTTATAAATGTCTGCTTCGAGGATGTAGTCTTGTCTCTTTGTTATAGCTCATATCTGAAGGGAATGAACCAAGTCCATTGTATGGTGGAACAGACTATTCTTGGTTATCAAGGTACTAATAATGGGTAATCCATTAACACTGAACCTGTGCCTGTACTGAACCTTTTCCTTCTTCAAATAGCCCTACCGTTAAGGTCCACAGACCTTTCCACAGAGCAGTCCTGCTTATTCTAACTTGTTTAGTCTTAGAGTGAGAGGTGTACATTATGGGTGGAAGATTTGCAAAAACCACACACAAACTCTAATGTAACTGGTTTCAACCACTTATTTTCGTTAGTGGATGAGGTGGTCCATGGACTGGTCTGTGGACTGGTCTGTGGACTTGTCCATTGGAGGGAGGGATGGTAGGCTGAGAGTTGGTTTCTCAAGGTTCACCTTTTATTTCCTTATCATAACACTTAAAAGAACATTACTGGGAAGAAGAGACATATATAATGTTTATTTTTGCTAGTCATTGTAAGGTGTTTGTGGTAACCTCAGGGCAACCTCATTCTAAGGGTTCTCTCCTACTTGTCCTCCTGATAGTTTGAAGTGTCAGCCATCCCTTAGCCCCCCACCCCATCCACCCCAAATGGCTTATTGCAGGGTGGGGTGAAGAGACAGCTGACACTTGAGGCTAGTCCTCCATAGTGAGTGAAAGAGAGAGTTTCAGAGAAGCCAGGGAATGAGGTTGGTCTCAGGGTTACAAAAGTGAACGTTAGATAGTATGCACACTGGGAATCGATTGGAAGGAATTGGATGCCTTATATTTTTCTCTTCCTCCCAGTAATGTTCTTTAAAGTGTTAATAGAAATGTGATCATTTTTTCACCATATTTTTAATGTGGTAATGTCAAAGGGGAACCATAAAATCTGAAACAGTTTGTTTTCTTTTCTACGTCTTGGTTGTTTGGTCTTAATATTACATTAGTAGCCAATTTGTTCTATGTAATTTGCTATAAATGAATTACACATAGGTACTTGAAAAAAGTTTAATTAATATAAACACGTCAGTGATGCTGAGAAGTAATCATCACTCAGATAATGAAGGTGAGTTGTGATAGCTAGGTTCTTTTAATGCATGTAAAACACTGCAGGTAAGTTCTAAGTCTAATAAGCATTTGTTATAATGCTGGTAATAGATGTACTATCATCAGTACTAAAATTATGCAGCAAGGTATCTACTGTTTCTTTTTAGTAATTTCAAAAAATAAATATCCAAACAGGAAAAGTTCTTTAAGTATTATTAAATACATAAATATGTAACACAACGAATTTTTTGACTATTGCCATTTAAATGATTGCCACTATAGTTGGTTGTAAAGTTTGTCCTCAAAAAGTGATTCCCTTTTATAAATGCATTGAATGCAAAACTGATGATTTAAACAATGAAATGATGATAGAGAAAGACTTGCTTTGTTGACTGTTATTGTTTTAGTCCCAAAATCCAAATGAGGCTGTGTCTCTTGTCCTTCCTCCTGGAATGGTTAAATTTGATGAACAGCATCATGAAGAAGGCTCTGGAATAGTAGAATGGAGTCCGCCAAACATGAACTGGAATCCTTGGATAAATCAGCCTGTGATTATTGAAGGTGCTGAGGAATACCAGGTGATTAGTTAAGTTGAAACTTTAACTTTGTCTATCTTATGAAAGTGTCTAGCAATGTGTGGGTCTCTTACTATTAAATATAACTGCACTGATTAATAGCTGAATTCAACTCAGTAACAGTAATTCAACTTTTCAATTTGTGCATTTTTTCTGATGTAATAAAATTTGTTAATAGTGATCTAGCAGTAAAGGATTCCTGAAAATAATGTGCAAGGACATTGTTTTGTGCGTCACTTCTCTTTTGATTTGTGCCATTGCCGCTGTGGTTGAATAAACTTCCCAATATTAACATGAAGTTGTTTGTACTTTGAATAGGTCATCTGTTATAACTAAGCTATATCTATGTCACATGTTTCATGTAATCCAGGAACCTCTTCTAACAAGTCAGGATTACCTAAATGAGTACAGGGAAAAGCACCAAAATGATGCATACAACCACATGTTGGAACAGCGTAGCCAGCTGCCAGTTTTTCAATACAAGACAGCCCTGATTGAAGCTGTCAAGAGAAGCAGAGTTATTGTTGTTAAAGGTGCAACTGGATGTGGAAAAACTACCCAGGTTTGTAGGATAGTATTAATTGCTCATCTTGATCTCATTTTGGTACACTTTTTTTGTAATATTCCTTTCACCTACACACGCCCTTACTTTTGTACTGCTCCTTTTTGTCTCTATCCAATTTGTAGCATATTTTCAGCATACCTGTATCATTTGTTTGTGCTACCATTTGGTTTCTGATGTGTCCCAAGCACCCTTCAGAACTCTTACCTGGATAACGCTAAATCTGTAATGTGTAGCAGCCTTTCAGCATTCCTTCTTAGGGGGATGCTCTCCTGCCACGTACTTATTTAAGTTTGTTGGAGTACGTTTTGTTCTCTGAACTGCTCCATGTACCTTTCAGCACTCTTACTAAATTAATGCCCTTTTGTGTCTGTAATTGAGCTTACAGAACCTTTTTAATATGCTTGTATTTTATGCCATTTGGTTTCTGTAATTTCCCTGGCACTTTTCAGCATGTACAGAGGACCATTGTGACAGCATGTTGATAACTGTTATTGCAGGTTCCTCAGTACATATTGGATGATTATATTGAGACATGTCATGGTCAAGAATGTTGTATCACAGTCACACAGGTCAGTCATAATAATGATTAAACGAACAAAACTTCTTACACTGAGCATGGAGTGCAAGTTACATTATTCTATTTGTTATGCTGCCAAATAGATCAGTAATACTTAATGTTCCATTATTTATGTAACAGCCCAGGCGTATCAGTGCAGTTAGTGTAGCAGAAAGAGTAGCAAGTGAAAGAGCTGAAATACTTGGTAGCAGTGTGGGGTACTCTGTGAGATTCGATACTGTTCTTCCCAGAAGCCATGCCTCCATGCTGTTCTGTACAGTTGGTAAGTTCACTCACTGTCTAGTATTATTAGGATACCACTTTTGCCATGGTGGAACCATGTTTTTATTTTTACTTCTATTTTAATGGTCAACATTGTTAGTAGACAGTAGCCTACGGCATATTTACTGGCATTGTTTCATTGTCCCTCAGGTGTCCTCCTTAGGAAACTTGAAAATGGCCTTCATGGTATTTCTCATGTCATTGTGGATGAGATTCATGAACGAGACATAAATGTAAGTGGCATTTGAGTCGGAAATTCTTGGTCTGCTGCAATAGGTTTGGGTATTGCACTGGGGTTTTCATAACTTTTAAAGGAAGTTCGAGAGCAAGCTCAAGGATGTTGTGAGTTAAGCCATTCTAGTATGCATTCAATTTATAATAAGTTTAAAGTGAAGAATTATTTACAAGAGTCCAGGCATGATAAAGGTAAGGGAAAGTTGATGGTCAGTGTCGTGTTGTAAGGATGTTTCATATGACCAAAATAATCAATGGTAACAACAAAGAATATTTCATTGATGCAGTGCAAATTAGTCAAAACTTTGTAAAAAGTCCCCTTTCACACTAAATATATACATCATATACAAAAACCATCTAATCAGATTGCAACATTAAGCAATACAAGTTTTGCAAAACAAAAACATTTGGTTACAGAGCTTGTAGGATTAAGGTGGGCCTTAAATTTTGAGCTGTTTTTGGACTATAAACATGTCACAAAGATAAAAGAGTGTCTCCTTAGTGTTAATAACAAAATAATCCTTATTGTATCACTACAGACTGATTTTGTTTTGGTCATCTTGCGAGGCATGGTTCAAGCTTACCCCAACTTGCGAGTCATTCTTATGTCAGCCACAATTGACACTCAGATGTTTACAGAGTACTTTGGAAACTGCCCCATTGTAGAAATAGAAGGAAGATCATTTCCAGTACAAGGTAATGCAACCTTTTTGTTTGTTTGTGAAGCAACCAATCCTATTACCAGATTTCTGTAGCCAGAATGTGGATGCAAGAGGACCTTTTGAGACTTTGTGTCAGACCTAATATTAGCATAACCCATTCAAAAGAATATGAGAGCACCACAGTTCACTGATTGTTATTCATTCTAATCTTAAGTTACAGTTTTTGTGAGCAGAAGACCTTGACAGTCTAATCCGTATAATCTTTTTCTGTTTGTTTTATAGAATATTATCTTGAAGATGTAATTCAAATGTTGAGTTTTGTCCCACCTCTCCCTGAGAAAAAGAAAAAGAAAGATGAAACAGAAGATGACGAGGAGGTGAGATAAGAGGACAGAAAACCTAACATGGGCCAGATGATTCTCACATTCGTACAGTAGTGGATAGCGTTGTCCACTGGATAAATCTCTCTAGCTAATGTCGCAATTTGTATGCCTACTCAGTAATAGACACCCAGGAGACCAAGCGGGATAGGAGGCGTTTAAAAGAGAGAGAAGCGTTTATTCTCATAACTGTCAAAAAACTATACAAAACTTACATGCCTTCAGCGAACATATTACCAGTGTACAAATAGCCGAATTTCTGGTCCATCCATTGATTCGTTTTCAGAATCCTTATTTTGAACTTAACACTGAACAAGATGCAATGCGCAAACTCTTTTTAATCAAGAGAGGGGCTTCTATTGTATCATTTTTGGTACCTGTCTACTGGATAGCTATTTATCCTTCAGGCCCCGGTTGTTTAAAAGTTGGATAGCGCTATCCACCGGATAAATCACTATCCAGTGGATAGCGCTATCCAGTGACGGATAGTAACTTATCCAGTGCATAGCGCAATCCACTTTTCAAACAACTGGGGCCAGATGGCGTAGCGAAAGTTTGGGATCAATTTAGCTCTCTGGGAAACTGCCCACCTACCCCTCCCTTAACTCAACGTTGATATTTGCGTCTTACTTGGGGCAAAATGTTGGGTTAGGGGAGGGGTAGGTGGGCAGTTTCCCGGAAACCTAAATTGATCCGTTTGAACAACTGGGGCTGAAATCTGGACTGTGAGGCTGACCAGGCCACCATACTGTGCCCCAGACGGCTTACTGACAGGGGAGGTTTATTTTTGAAAGGGATTCACAAGATACGTTGAAAACTCGATTTTTTTTCTTTTACCATAGGAAAACTGTAACATGATGTGCAGTGACGATTATTCATTTCAAACCAAGAATGCACTGGCACAACTCAGTGAAAAGGAAATGTCTTTTGAGCTTGTTGAGGTAAAGATTTTTCACTGCTGACCTAATTTTTTAAAGGAAGATTTCTGATTCTTTTAGTTGTACATGAAATACATATAAACGTGTTTAATTTAAGTAACATTACATCAAGTAGATCTTCATCTTTTCTTAGTATTAATTTGAAGCCTAAAATGAAGTTGTTTTAGTAAGGGAAAACTCGACGTCTCGTTGAAAATCTTTTCTGTAAAAGATTGGATTGCTTAGTGAGGAGATTGGTTATTTTTCATTGACAGTTGATCTTAACTTGATAACTTTCTTTTAGTTCCAGAGATGGTGGAAGAATGAAATAAAAAATAGGCAAAATGGTTCTAAACGTCCATGATATTCCCTCCAACGGAACATTTTTTAAAAGTGACTAGGGGGGTTGATGGCTGTTTTCAGCGTGTTAAGCTAGCGGTAAACAGTCATTTTTAGTTACATGCAATGATGCAGATTTTGGCAAACGTTGAGTTTTGGCAATTTTCAGTGTACTATATTCTTGATTGTTATAGGCACTATTGAACTACGTCTCTGGCCTGAACATCCCTGGAGCTGTGCTTATCTTTCTACCAGGGTGGAACTTAATATTTGCACTGCACAAACACCTTAAGATGCATCCACAGTTTGGTAAGAGTACATTTAGTGTTATCATGTAATTAAAACCTGCTATCAACCATAGATTGACTTGCGAGGAATTTAATGCGGATGGAATTCGTGCTCTTTGAGGCCGATGCAAGGAAGGGAAAAGAACAACTGAAGCAATCAGTGTATTATTGTATCATGCTTGTAACAGCTCTATGTAGCCTTATTGTTCACCATAGCATATTGTGCATACAAATTACTATTTGTAGCGCCAAAAATACATCTAGTCGTCAACTGCGCTAATTTTAAACCTTAATTTTGCAACGTGAGTCATGAACTTTGGTGTTAACTTTAAGGACCTCAATCCGCTCAAGCAGGAACCCATTACCTGGAGCAAGCAACTCCCTTGATAGGCCTGTCACGAAGTTTTCACAGGCAATTATTCCCGGGAAAGTCGGAGCTTCGCTTCGTCTATGAGCGCATTCGAAGTATAAGATATGAAAGAAACCCAACGTCATTTTCAAAACCTCAAAAAAATACCATTTTCAGGTTTGTAGGTTTTACCGACTAAATTTGCTCCAAAATCGTTTTAAAAATAAACTGGTTAGTGAAAAGTCCTTGACACGAGCACAAGGAAGTTGCCAGCTCCGTGTTATCAACTCCTGTCTCAAGTGATTTAATTTTGTGATATTTCAGGGGTAAGTAGCAGGTATCGTCTGCTACCTCTTCATTCTCAGATCCCCAGGGAAGAT